AGCCTGGTCCTGATGGACAAAATGACACAAAAGCCCCAAAAGTCTATTCTGAAGCATTAAAGAGGAAATTGCAATACATCTCAAGTGATATTTTGACCCAGCAACTCCAGGTCGTATATTTATTAAATATATGCATATATATACATAAAACAATTTGCAAAACCTTGATTAGTGCACTAATTCAAAACCACACTATGCAGGTATATTCAAAAAATTCTGTTTAAATTTTATGCAAGCATATTTTATAATAAGTTCATATTCAAGTTATTAGAAACTTGACATGAGTGAATTACAGGAAACAAGGACTTATAGTAGCCTATAAAACAGTACATGTAATTTTTTCCTTTTACTAAAATCCTGTACTCTTAATGTATATTTCCATAAGTCATCCTCACATCCGCAAACCAAATGTCTGGCATTCCTTAAAAGGGTGTGTAATGCAGGAAGGTACGAACTTTGCAATCCATACGTTATACACATGTTAGTATTTTTTTTAATACTGTTAATGATATAGTAGGGAATTGTATTTCTAACTGTATAGCGTCTCTGTTTTATAACTACTGTAAACACAGTGTAACCTATATAGCAATTAAATGTTAAATTAACCATGTCCCTGCAAAATATTTCAGAGCACTGTGCCTGACCTAGACTAATAATGGCAAACATCTGGATTGCACCCCATATGTTTGTGAACTATATTTCCCACGATGCTTCTAAAGAATGAATATTTTACTGCTAACTATTTTGCAGTTAAAGGGACACTGTAGGCACCCAGACCACTTCAGCTCATTGAAGTAGTCTGGGTGCAAACTCCCATCACCCTTAACCCTGAGCATGTAATTATTGCAGTTTTTATAAACTGCAATAATTACCTCTGAGGGTTAACTCCTCCTCTAGTGGCTGTCTACCAGACAGCCACTAGAGGGACTTCCGGAATTGAAATGGACTTTTGGTCCGTTATCTGACGCTGGCCGTCCTCATGCTCTGCACGAGGACTTCCACCGTCAGATTTTCCCCATAGGAATGCATTGAATAATGCTTTTCTATGAAGAGATCCTAATGCGAGCGAGGCCATTGCCTCACATGCGCATTAGGTCTCCCCCCACCAGCGAGGGAGGAGTGTGGGCGGAGCTGGGCCAGTGCCGAGGGACATCGTACTGGACCCATGTAAGTGACTAAAGGGGTTATTAACCCCTTCAGCCCCGCAGGAAGGAGCATTGACAAAGGAAAAATCTAGAGTGCCAGGAAAACAAGTTTGTTTTCCTTGCACTAATGAATCCCTTTAACCCGTTAAGGACCGAACTTCTGGAATAAAAGGGAATCATGACATGTCACACATGTCATGTGTCCTTAAGGGGTTAAGATCATAATCATAAGCTAATCATAATAAGCATAACTACTACAATGCATTGTATGTTGCAAATATGGTACAGCCTTGTGGCAGCAATCCCCCTCTAGCTTTTGTCAAAGCTGTTTTGTGCAGTCTGAGAAAAACTGGTGCCTTCAACTCAGCTAATATGGAAATCCGCTTCATTAGCCCATCCTACATTTAGGGTAATAAGAGCAATGGAAGTTGGTTAAAGGACCACTATAGTGCCAGGAAAACACCTTGTTTTACTTTCCTTTTCTTATTTATGTATCTAAAAATGTTCCTCTCCTTTTTTATTGACAGTGCTATTTTTTCTTCTGTGTGTGATTTGGAAGCTCTTATAACTTGCTTAGCCTCTTTCTGCCTAATCTTATAGATGTGTCTATCTTCCTCACTCTGTTTTTTTTTTATAATTACTAAATGCTAACTTTTAGTTTTTTACTATTTTGGCCACAATGGTTTCTTGAATGTTTTACTGACAAGCCTAATGCAATTGTCTGTTGCCTTCAGCAGTGCAACTTTTAAATAATCCCATTTCTCTCGGGCTCCGTTTAAATTGCTCCAGTCTGATAATGACTCCTTTACACATATTCTAATTTTAGAAAAGTCTGGTTTTCTAAAGTCTAAAACATTTGATTTTGTGTGGTGTGACTTAGTCACAGTTCTTATATTAAACCACACTGACTGATGATCACTGGATCCTAAACTTTCACCTACAGTAATATCTGATACCAAATCTCCATTTGTTAACATTAAATCTAGTATGGCCTCCTTACGAGTTGGCTCCTCAATGACTTGTTTTAGAGACAATCCCAGTAGGGAGTTTAGAATATGTGTGCTCTTGGTACAAGCAGCTATTTTGGTTTTCCAGTTCACATCAGGAAGATTAAAGTCACCCATGACGATAACTTCCCCCTTCATTGTCATTATAGCTATTTATTCAACTAGCAGATTAACTCTTCTATTTGTCCAGGGGGCCTGTAAATCACACCTACACGAGTTACGGTGTGATCTCCAAATTTTAACGTAACCCAAACAGACTCTATGTTCGCCTCCCTAACTTTTATTAGGCTAGATTTTATGCTATCCATCACATACAGGGCCACCCCTCCCCCTTTCTTGCTTTCCCTGACTTTTCTATATAAAGAGTACCCTGGTATTGCTATGTCCCAGTCATTTTTCTCATTATATCATGTCTCAGTAATAGCAACTAAATCTACATTATCAGTGGCCATTATTGGCACAAGTTCATGGATCTTATTCCCTAAATTGCGAGCATTTGTAGACATGACTCTAAGCTTATAATTTTTAACACACTTGCTTCAGGCACCTTCTGTTCTTGTTTTTGGAGCAAATGGATTGATGTTTTATCACCTTTTTGCTCCCCCCCCTAGTTTAAATACATCCTAGCAAAACCTCTGAACTGCTCACTGAGAACATTTGTTCCCTTTTTGAGAAAGATGCAAACCATCTTTTTTATACAGTTTATTTCCATTCCAAACAGAGCTACCATGAGAAATGAAGCCAAATCCTTGCTCCCGACACCATTCACCAAGCCACAAGTTAAAGTCCCTAATACGCATCCGCCTGTCGTTCTGAGTGTTATTCACAGGCAGAACTTCAGAGAATAACTGTGTGGAAGCAACCTGCCGTATATCATTGGCAAAAACTCAAAAAACTTCCTTTACCTCTGAAACCTATTGCAAGCCAAGTCATTTGTCCCTAGATGGACAAGTACATCTAATTCCCCTTCCTGCTTTGCTCGCTTAACAATATTACAAATATGTCTCCTGTCTCTGTCAGCATTAGCTCCGGGAAGACATCTCAAAAGACCACTATTGTCCAACTCACCACCTGTTATGATAGAATCTCCCAACAACAACTGCTTTCTATTAGGCCTCATCATAGTCTGCAAGCCTGTCTCCACCACACCACTACACTCGGTGCCTGAGCCTGTCTCCACAACACAATTACACTCGATGCCTGTGCCTGTCTCCACAACACAATTACACTTGGTGCCTGAGCCTGTCTCCACAACACAATTACACTCGGTACCTGAGCCTGTCTCCACAAAACTACTACCATGAGTGCATGAGCCTGTCTCCACAACACCACTTCCCTCAGTGCCTGGGTCTGTCTCCACAACACCACTACCCTCGGTGCCTGAGCCTGTCTCCACAACACCACTACTGTTAGTGCCTGAGCCTGTCTCCACAACACCACTACCCTCGGTGCCTGAGCCTGTCTCCACAACACCACTACACTCGGTGCCTGAGCCTTTCTCCATAACACCACTACACTAGGTGCCTGAGCTTGTCTCTTATAACACCACTACAATTGTTGCCTGAGCCTGTGTCCATAACACCATTACACTCTGAAAGTGCTGAAAATGAATTATGTAGAGCGACAGACTGTGCAATATGCCTTTTATCCACAACTATGCCTACTATTTCCTACAGTAATCTACCTGCCATTCCTACTACGTCTCTGCGGTAGTGGCTTTGCAACAGTTCCAGCCTGAGTTTGTTTACCAGATAATTTACAAATCTCAGACTTCAAAAATACAATCTCCTGCCTCATTATAGAGAACTATCTACAGATTAGACAGCATCCAAATCTCCAAAAAGTGAAACGTGAAACAAATGCATAACAACTATTACACTGAACCTAGGCTGCCATTTTAATGAGGTGAATAATTTAAATCAAACCAATTGTAACGGCACCCCGGGCATAAAAGGGGTTAAACCGCCGTTTAGAAGATCTTCCCCTTCCAGAGATCCAGGCACAGCTATTGCAGAACACCAAACTCCCGAATCGCATATAAGGGAATGCTCCGAACTGCATACAAAATAGCACTCCAAACTCCCGAACTGGAACTTCACGAATAGTTGCTAGCAGACGAATAGGAAAAGCACCCAAGCGGCTTAAACTCCTAATAATCAGTCTCTATCAGCATACAGTAAATCCCCCCCAAGAACGAGACAGAGCTCCGTGTTGAAGGTCAAGCAGTGGTCAGGTTTAATGAGGGCTACCTGCCCGGTATTTATGCAGGTCTTCCACCTGGTGGACACTCCCCTAGGGGACCAGATGGAAGACTGTGACAAAGACATTGTAGCAACCAATCACAGGGTACACACTTAGCCATTCCCTTTTTCTTACCCAGAACCCTCTGCTCTGCTCAGGGAGATAATTGTGAAGTAATTCAATTATCTCCCAGGACAGAGCCCAAACGCCATTTTAGGTGACAATAACAAAAAGACATAAAAATACATAACTGTTATATTTTACAACATTTTACAGGCATTCAACAGGTCCCCAGATAGCTAGGATCTGAGCGCACCAAAGTACCGAATAGCTCTCAGATCTTATGCACACAGTCCAATCGCCGTGGAGCCAAAGTGTTCAGAAAGTCAGTTTTCATACGAATGAGCTCCACGGGATTCCTATCTGGGGTATGGTGTATTCAGGTACAAACTACCGAATATAGGGCCGTTTGTGCACGTCTACCGAACAAGACGGGAGGTCGGCGGCTTCAGCGGTGTTCGCGCCAAAATGTATCCGTTTTCAGTTCCATGAGTTGGGCGTTGAACACCGCTGTGCGTTCATGTGTTTAAAATGGCCGCGACCTCATGTTCGGTATACGAATGGCAGCCACCCAGCATTCGTCAATTAAGCTGCGGTTAACCGCAGATTCTGGGAGGTTAATTGCCGACACACTCCAGCTCCAAGGTGGTCCAGTCATTTGTGCGTTAGTTCGGTAGATTGAATCTACCGACCGCCGGGCAGAAAGGCACGAATAAGCCTTTTCTGCAGGGGAAAAGAAGGCTTTTAACATGGGGCCATAATCCAAAGGCAACAGGCGAGCAACCAGGCTTCTCCAATGCAATGTGGCGAGATTGGTCTCCTCACACCAATCTTACATTTTTTATTTTTTTTGTCCTCCTGTATACCTCATATTAGCTCCAGAATTTCTCCAATCACACACTTAGAAGTAGCAAACAAGCTATATTAGCCAAGCTAATGACCACATCCCATATATAACTCCTAAAAGCACTACCCACTAGGAATGTTTAAAACCTGGGTAGGTCTATTCTTATTTGCACACAATAGCTAATTAACCAACAATCAATAGCAAACACCTAGCTAATCAAATGCCTTACCAATTACCAACAGATAGATCCATCCAATAGATGAAGCTTACCTGCAACAGTAAAAAAAGAAAACTCTTGGCAAAATCTTAGACAATTGAAGAGTCTGTAAAACTCTCCAGAATATCTCTAATTACATACTTTGAAGTAGCAACCAAGCTATAATACATTCTTCATCAGTCCCAGTCAGCCAACCTCACTACCCACGGTTATCCCCTTCCCTGCCAGTCCCAGTCAGCCAACCTCACTACCCACTGTTAACCCTTTTCTGGTCAGCCAACCTACCTGCCCACTGTTAACCTCCAGAGAGAGAGAAAAGACAAAGGTTTATAGGTATTTATAACTTTGTCTCTTTATAGTTATTTATAATAAAAATGAGACACTGTATAACACTTAATGTGGTGAGGAAATGTTTGTGTGTATGATATGATTTGTAAGCCCTAGTGTCTGAATGATGAGGACTCTGAGGAGGCTTGGGTAGGCATTGTGGGAATGTTTTGAGCTAGCTGAGTGAAGCTCAGGCACGCCCAGTAAGGTGTCATTACTGATTCTCATAGAGAATCACTGCAGCATGGCCATTGGTGGACAGCCTGGCTGAAATACAGGAAGCAGGGAGATATGACATAAAATCAGAGAAGGAGCAGAAAATCCGATCATAGTAAAGATTAAAACAGGTACTTCTGAAGCTTATTTTTACACTATTTAGTGCAAAAAAACATTTAGTGACGGTAAGTTTACTGTTGGGGGGATATGCATTTTCTTTCTTTTTTTTTAACTATGCTGTTCTTTTAACCAATGATACTTAATGCTTCCACCACTGCCTGGTCCCTAAAGATCCAATGTGAGAATGCAATGGACTGCTACATAGCATTAGCAACTCTATACAGAACTGATACCTTTAAAGAAATACTCCAAACACCGCAATCACTACAGTGACCTTTTGCTTCACCGCAGCCCCAATGTGCTGAGCACTCTCATGCAATAAGCTGGGCACCTCACTACTGGGTTAGTATCAGAGGCGTAAATAGAAACCACAGGGCCCTTGTATGAAAATTGCAGTGCACCCCTCCCCCCCAGGTATCTCATTGATTCCCGCCAGCCCCTCCATGGGTCTCATTCCCGCCCCTAGGCCTTCCATGTGTCTCATTCCCACCACCCAGCCACTCCATGTGTCCCATTCCCTCATCCTCCCAGCCCCTCCATGTGTCCCATACCCTCCTCCCCCCCCCAGCTCCTCCATGTGTCTCATTCCTCCCTCCCTCTCTCCCCCCACCCCTCCACGTGTCCCATTCCTCCTTTCTCCCCCTTCCTGTACCTGTTTCTTGCCGCGGTTTCTGGCACAGAACTCCTCTCTCCTCTCTGCAGACACCCAGGAACCACAGCTGTGAACCATCGCCGCAGGTATGCCAACTACCTACAGCCGCAGGGGTTGCCGCTGTGGATGGGCCCGGTCACAGCGGCAACCCCTGCGACCGTTGTTGATACGCCACTGGTTAGTATATTTAACAATATTTAACTTGGTTCGTTTTTAACCTTATCTAAAATTTTCACTTTGTTAAATCACTACAATTTCTGTTTTTCTTAGTTAAATAACCCCTGTAGGTTATATACATAGATACATAGATGATGTAAATCACCCTTACGAGATGTTTTATGTGCCATTTAACATGTTTCTTTCAGAGTAAAGGTAACCTACTTCTTGTTTGCTTGCTTTGAGTTTCCTTTTTTTTTTCTTTTTCATGACAGATTTTGTTGTTTGTTGTACTTTTGATGATGCGTTCACTTTATTGTGAATCACCAAGAAATTAGTTACTAAATGTATGTGGCTGTTTCAAGAAGAAATAAACTCTCATGGTAATATGCAAATTAGGAAACTGTGTACAAGAATCAATTATATCTCTTTATCCAAATGTTAGAAAGTTGTTATTGTACTATATATTTGATGCATTATTATATTGGTTGTTTTTCAAGATCTGTATGTTTGTTTACATTCAAATGTTTTTCACCACATGCAGGCTAGTCCTTGTTCAAATAAAATATTACAAATTAGTTCCATTGGGAACTGTGTCTCCTGTCTGCTTTGTATGGGGATTCCAGGAGCAGAGTTTTCAGACATGCTCCTGTGTGCATTATTCCCTGGTTCCAGAGACGTGTTAAGAAACAGCTAGGCCTAATTTGCGGCTTACACAGTCAATGTTCTTCTGACATTAGGGCATCCAATCAAGTCCATGCATCCCTCTTTGAACTCCTACATTCTTTTAGTTACCAAGCGGGTTACAGAATAAACTTTGATTGTATGGGTAAAGCACTAGATTTATCAGCCTTGGACAAGGGATTGCTGGGGTCCACTTTTCAGATTAAGTTCAAATGCTCTATTAAAGGACCACTCTAGGCACCCAGACCACTTCAGCTTAATGAAGTGGTCTGGGTGCCAGGTCCTTCTAGGGTTAACCCATTTTTTTATAAACATAGCAGTTTCATAAGAGAAACTGCTATGTTTATTAATGGGTTAAGCCTTCCCCCTAATCCTCTAGTGGCTGTCTCATTGACAGCCACTAGAGGCGCTTGCATGCTTCTCACTGTGATTTTCACAGTGAGAGCACGCCAGCGTCCATAGGAAAGCATTGAAAATGCTTTCCTATGTGACCGGCTGAATGCGCGCGCAGCTCTTGCCGCGCGTGCGCATTCAACCGGCGGGGCGGAACGGAGGAGGAGAGCTCTCCGCCCAGCGCTGGAAAAAGGTAAGTTTTTACCCTCAGGGCACTATAGTGCCAGGAAAACGAGTATGTTTTCCTGGCACTATAGTGGTCCTTTAAGTATATAGGAGTCCAAATCACAGATGGTCCAGGAACTTTTTTTGCTGGTAATTATTGTTTCTCTCTATCAAACAAGACCTTGAAAATTTGGGGAGATAAACCAATATCATGGATAGGTGGAACCCACTGTATAAAAATATTCTCCAATGACTGATTTTCTTTCTCCAAGCTTTGACGATTCATATTCATGGGAAACGGGATTTGGAAGGTGTTCAGAGATCTATGGAATCCTTTTTATGGGACAATAAAAGACAAAGGCTGCCAAGGCACATGCTATATAGGCCTACGGAAGTAGGGTGCCTAGGAATGCCCGACCTCCTCATGTATTATTGAGGCAGTTAGTCATGTGGCACACACCACCAGGAGATAGGTCAGTGGAACTGGAATTGAACTTAATGGTATGGTACTTACCAATGTTCTACAGGTGGATAGAGGGCTCTCAGCGGTCCCTGCTTTGCATTTTATGCCCAGCCATCCTTTCCTCATTATCAATAAGGGATCTGGTCGGGCTAAAATTCTAACTGACTTCTTAACCCTCTCTCCTTACTCAGGTCCTTGGATACAGAGATTGCATGAGACCCATGGAGTTACTGGAATCCAACAATATATGCACCTTTGGAGAGATTCCTCTGTGTAATTACACAAATTTCCCCTCTATGTAGTTAAGATTATTACAAGATTTCCATCAACAAGACAAAGTCAAAAGGGCTTTAGTTTCTAAGTTAACTTTATATGAGGACATCTGTGCTCAAGGCATTATAAAAATAATTTCTATAATTTACAGCTAAATGTGTTTCAACTCTGCAGTATGGGGGCTGTTGTGGTACATTTCCCAGTGGGAACAAAACTTGGGAGAAGTGAGATTCATGGGAGGAAATATGGGAAGCTGCCACAAAGGTGCCCATTTTGTGGTTTTTCACAAGAACAAATGTGGCAAACCTAGCCACTCGGACTATAACTGGACACTATGCCTTTAAGGGTTGCCTATAGGTCTGGAGAGAGATGCGTTGTACCTGTATGTGCCTGCTTCATGTATTCCCTGCATTGCCTGTACCTATCTGTTCCGCCGAATGCAAATGGCGGTTTGTATGGGGATTCTCGTTCGTTTCACGAACGGCACTTTGGAGGGCCGTTCGTGAAACGAATGCGATACCCCCTAATAGCCCACACACTTAGAGGCGTGTGGCGCTAGTTAACCGATTGCAACATTGTTGCAATCGGTTATTAGAGGCTCTCCTGGGTGGCCGTCGTTCGACTACCGACCATGCGGCGGTCGGCCATCTTGGATCCTTTGTTCCCTCAGCGGGGTTATGTCGTCGAGCGCCTGGTACTAAAAACGGCTACTCGACGGCATGAGCCCCGCTGAGCCTCCAGGACGTTCGGGAGTTTCGGGACGTTCGGTATTTTGTTCCCTAATAGCAATCGGTTCTTTTTGTATGTTTTATATGAATTGTGTTGTTCGTGCGGCGTTCGGTTATTTTAGCAGGGATCTGAGCGGTAATCTCACGAATGATACCCTCAGACCCCAGCTATCTACCGAACGTCCATTCGTGTAAATCCACTATATATTCACCAAGTTATTGATTTTTATGTGAATTATCGGTTCTGCTGCACGAGGGGATAGTCCACTTAACGGTGCATTCTGGGAAGACTATCCCTCTCGTGCAGCGGTGCCTGATGGGAGAAATATGGTGTAATGTAAGTCCCCCATGTAGTCCCCTCCTGTACAACCCCTGTAATGTCAGTTTGGAAACCCCTTGCATGGGGAATTGCATAAATACTGTGACCTGTGATTAAAACCTCAGTTGACTCCCAGCCTATGTGTCGTCTAGTTCTTGGGAAGGAAGGGTTACTGCAGTGCTGTTTGGATTAATATATGCTGATTCCCTGGATTATCCTTTGTTGTTCCTGTTACCCAGCGGAGATATCGTGGATTATACTGCCTCTCCGCTACAACAAATAAACACAATTATTGTTTAGATGGCATACCACCTGTCATGTTTCTGAGCAGGTCAGATAGGAGACCAATGCCGGGGATGACTTGAGGTTCTTTATTTTGAACTTTAGGCATGTTTAGACAAGGAAACTATAAGAGTAAGAGGATATAATAGGAAAAGGAACAATACAGACATAGGGAGAAAGCAGAACCTATAAATGGGATTATAGGTAAGTATAATAGTAAGAGGAAAACCTATACGTGAAATAATAGGTTAGGAGGAAGAAGGAGTGGTTATAAAAATAACGAGTAAGGCAATATGCCCCAAGTAGCTCATCAGGTAACCGGTATAATAAGAAAGGAAAGACCTATAAGAGAAATTATAGGTAAGAGACAAACAATATATAATAGAACAGAGATAAACAGAATATGAAAGTATAATGAAATCAGGTTAAATAGACATTTAGTAAATCAGAGGCCTTTGGTTGAAAGCAGTAATGCAGTTATAGATAATTGCAGTAAAGTTACTCAGGATTGAAACAATCCAGTATGGATAGTCAGTATTATCCAGGTAAGTTGTGATGGATCCGGTTAAATGTCCAATAGAACAAAAGCAATAAGGTAAATTGGTATTAAAAGTCCAGTGATAATTAAAGCAGGGTGATATTGGTGGTCAGGTTTTGTTTTACCAAGCTTCTTTGAGAAGAGCAGACTGGAAACACGTTTGATGAGTAGATCAAGATGGTTCAAAGTAAATCAGACTTTATCAGGTTTCTCTGTATGAGCCAGGAGCAGAAGGCTTGTCATGTAATAATACTTCTCTCATTGTGAAGCCACTTTGGTTTAGTCAGGTGTGGCCTTTATTAGCTGATACAATTACCAGATTTTACTAATTTCATGACATAAAGTCATGATTTTATTAAGGACACAGAGACGAGTATTATGCTTATCTCTTTCTTTATTCCTCAACAGCAAAGAAAGGATACTGTCATATTCATAGAAAGATTTTAACATATACCCTCACAGGGTTAACACATAATACATTATTATTATTATTTTATTTATATAGCGCCATCAGATCCCATAGCGCTGTACAATGGGTGGACTGTAATTGTAACCAGACAACTGGACGTACAGGAACAGAGAGGTGTAGGGGCCCTGCTCAATGAGCTTGCATTCTAGAGGGAGTGGGGTATAGTGACACAAAGGGTAAAAGTAGGGGTATAAAGTAGGTTGTTAGAAAAGTATTCAATGAGGGCTTAGAATTTTAAATTTAGCCCTATATCTAACTGGAAGCCAATGCAGGGACTGACAGAGCGGGGAGGCGTGAGTGGACAGGAAAATGAGCCTCGCCGCCGCATTTATTATAGATTGCAGCGGTGCAATCTGAGAACACGTAAGACCACTGAGAATGGTATTTCAGTACTCAAGGCGAGAGAGAACAAGAGCATGGAGCAGCACCATAGCCGCATCCGGGGTTAAATAGGGGCGGATGCACGCTAAGTTTTTGAGATGGAAGCGACAGGATTTGTCAATTGATTGGATATGAGTAGCGATGTTGCGAACATAAAATTTTCGGTTTGCAAACGCGAACTTCCGCAAATGTTCACGAACGGGCGAACCGCCATAGACTTCAATAGACAGGCGAATTTTAAAAGCCACAGGGACTCTTTCTGGCCACAATAGTGATGGAAAAGTTGTTTCAAGGGGACTAACACCTGGACTGTGGCATGCCGGAAGGCGATCCATGGCAAAACTCCCATGGAAAATTACATAGTTGATGCAGAGTCTGGTTTTAATCCATAAAGGGCATAAATCACCTAACATTCCTAACTTGTTTGGAATAACGTGCTTTAAAACATCAGGTATCCACGGGGCATCAAACAATTCCCTGAGCTACAAGCCGAATTCGCTTTGACCCCTAGGGAGATTTTCACTTATCTGCGCATCAAATACACCCTGTCATCGTTAAACATACACCACTGCAAAGCAGAACAATTGACTTCATTTGGGCGTCGGTGCATTTCCACCCAACACACATGCAAACTTCTCTCCTTGAGCTACTCAGCGATTAATGATGTGGACAGGACCATTAAACACCCTTACATGCTGAAATGGGAGCGCGACTTGGAAGTTGCATTCCCCCTTCCCATGTGGTTACAGGCACTCCAAGTCACACGAGCTTCTTCACATAACATGTCCAACTGGGAGAGCTTTTGTAAACTGTTGATGCGATGGTACCTATTCCCCGCCCGTCTAGCCCAGATATACCCAACAGCTTCGCAGGCATGCTGGCGGTGCGGAGATGGGGTGGGCACATTGCTACATATATTCTGGGGCTGCCCCAAACTGACACAATTTTGGCAACAGGTCAGAAATATGATCAGGGAGGTTACAGCGGTCGCCATACCTCTACACCCAGAATGCTATCTCCTACATATCCACGTTGGAATACTGTTCTCCCCACATAAAGCGGTCATATGCCACTTCCTTTTAGCCGCCAAGACCAGCATAGCGAGTAGATGGAAAAGCTTAGATCCTCCTACCACTCAGGAGGTGAGAAATAGGGTTCACTCGACATACGAACACGAACGATTAGCATTTAGGTTGAAGGACCGAGAAGATAAACACGCACGACTCTGGCATAGTTGGAGCGCAGCACATCCCCGTGGGCAATGGGATATGGGGTGAAAGATAGGTCACTTAGGTAGGCGGGCCCAAGTCGAGTGATCAGCATGCAACGCACAAACATATCTAGAAGGATGACTCATAGGCACCCAATAACTCCCTACAGACTAATATCCACCGAGACAGAACAGAAGCCCTCGATGCACTTGCTGACGGGTTCACCCCACCCCACTAGCAACTGAGGTCTAAAAGCGTGTTCTTACCCGTGGTCCACTAGGCCACAGTTGCTTCCGTACATGAAAGACAGTATGTATTGCCAGCCATGCTCTTTGTATGAAACAGCGGTAATGATTGTGTGGATGCAATGTCCCCGCTTCCCTTTTTTTTTCCTTTCTGTATCCATCTATTATGTTTGTCTGTTAATTGGTATATAACGAAAATACTAATAAAAATAAGACATTGAAAAAAAAAAACATCAGGTATGATGTTGTATCGATCAGGTAGTGTAAGGGTTACGCCCGCTTCACAGTGACAGACCAAACTCCCCGTTTAACGCACCGCAAACAACCGCAAACCGTCCATTTGCACAACCGCAAACTCCCCATTTGCACAAGGTTGGATACCAAGCTAGCCATGTCCCGTTCCTTGTCCTCACTGATGTCATTGAAGGTCTCTTCCTCCACCCAGCTACGTACAAACCAAGGGTCCCCAAAAGGTGACAACAAGCCCCTTGGGACGCCTGCTGTGTTTGGTCTTCCACCTCCTCAAAGCCACCTTCCTTCTCTGACTCCTCTTCGTCAGACTCCTCTCTCTGCATTGCCTCTCTCTGCATTATTATAAGGTGTGTTAAGTAGTACTATTCCTAATCTCTGTTACATCCCCTATAAGGGGACGTGTATATGGCATCGATTTTAGGAACCGGGAGATGGAAAAAGATGCTTGGTTGGTCCTCCTACTTCAAATTTGGGGCACTGCGCGTGCAATCTAATGTGTCACCAGATAGGAGTGGTGTGTTAAGTAGTACTATTCTTATCAGTTTAATCCCAATGTCACGACTACTAGTGTGGTCCAGCACGCAGAAACTATGTAAACATATACATAGGCAAGAAAAGGAAAATAAAAGGACAGAGCGTAAACCGGACCTTAGAATGGCCGGACTAATATGCTAGAGACAGAGAATGGTCAAAGGGAAAGCCGAGGTCAAGGAAGCCAGAAAATACACAATACCGTTTACACAAGCCAAGTCAGGGAAACCAGAATTCAGAATAACCAGGGAAAAGCCAAGATCAGGATACCAGGAAATCAGATTCACAATGATAAAGCACTCTCAGGAAACCAGGAACAGGAAACCACGACAGGGCAAGGTACTGGGGTGAGCTAGGGATTTAAATATCACGCGGCGGGCCGGCAGCCGCGACACCCTGTTACGTCCCCCTCATCAGGCCTTTTTTAGTCGAATGTATCGCCCACTGTCAGTCCCTTCGGGATCCATCCCTCATTCATCTTAATAAAGGTGAGGTAATCTAGACTTTTTTGACCTAGGCGACTTCTCTTCTCAGTGACAATACCTCCTGCTGCACTGAAGGTCCTTTCTGACAGGACACTTGAAGCGGGGCAGGCCAGAAGTTCTATCGCAAATTGGGATAGCTCAGGCCACAGGTCAAGCCTGCACACCCAATAGTCAAGGGGTTCATCGCTCCTCAGAGTGTCAATATCTGCAGTTAAGGCGAGGTAGTCTGCTACCTGTCCGTTGAGTCGTTCTCTGAGGGTGGACCCCGAAGGGCTGTGGCGATGCGTAGGACTTAAAAAGCTCCGCATGTCCTCCATCAACAACACGTCTGTAAAGCGTCCTGTCCTTGCCGGCGTGGTCGTGGGAGGGAGAGGATTACTTTCACCTCTTCCCTTGTTAGATTCACGTTGTGCTGTGACATCACCCTTATACGCTGTGTAAAGCATACTTTTTGATTGATTTTGGAACTGCTGCATCCTTTCCGACTTGCCATAATTCGGTAACATTTCAGGCACTTTCTGCTTATACCGGGGGTCTAGTAGCGTGGACACCCAGTACAGGTCGTTCTCCTTCAGCCTTTTTATATGATGGTCCCTCAACAAGCACGACAGCATGAAAGACCCCATTTGCACAAGGTTGGATGCCGAGCTACTCATGTCCTGTTCCTCGTCCTCAGTGATCTCACTGAAGGTATGTTCTTCCCCCCAGCCACATACAACACCACGGGTACCAGATAGGTGACAACGAGCACCCTGGGATGCCTGTTGTGGTTGGTCTTCCTCCTCCTCCTCAAAGCCACATTCCTCCTCTGACTCCTCTTCCTCACAATCCTCTTCCAGCATTGCCGCAGGTCCAGCAAGCGATGCTGATAAGGCTGTTTCTGGTGGTGATGGTGACCACAACTCTTCCTCTTCCTCTTCACGCTCATCTACGGCCTGATCCAGCACTCTTCGCAGGGCACGCTCCAGGAAGAAAACCAATGGTATGATGTCGCTGATGGTGCCTTAGTTGCGACTGACTAGGTTTGTCACCTCCTCAAAAGGACGCATGAGCCTACAGGCATTGCGCATGAGCGTCCAGTAACGTGGCAAAAATATTCCCAGCTCCGCAGAGGCTGTCTTAGCACCCCGGTCATACAAATACTCGTTAGCTGCTTTTTCTTGTTGGAGCAGGCGGTCGAACATTAGGAGTGTTGAATTCCAACGTGTCGGGCTGTCGCAAATCAAGCGCCTCACTGGCATGTTTTTTCGCTGCTCGATATCTGAAAAGTGCGCCATGGCCGTGTAGGAATGCCTGAAATGGCCACACACCTTCCTGGCCTGCTTCAGGACGTCCTGTAAGCCTGGGTACTTATGCACAAAGCCTTGTACGATCAGATTACACACATGTGCCATGCACGGCACATGTGTCAACTTGCCCAAATGCAATGCCGCCAACAAATTTCTTCCATTGTCACAAACCACTTTGCCGATCTCCAGTTGGTGCGGAGTCAGCCACTGATCCACCTGTGCGTTCAGGGCGGACAGGAGTGCTGGTCTGGTGTGACTCTCTGCTTTCAGGCAAGTCAACCCCAAGACGGCGTGACACTGCCGTATCCGGGATGTGGAATAGTACCTGGGGAGCTGGGGGGGTGCCGTTGATGTGGGCCCATACGCAGCAGCAGAAGAGGACTCAGCCGAGGAGGTTATGGAAGAGGATGGAGTAGGAGGAGTAGAGGAGGTGGCAGCAGGCCTGCCTGCAAGACGTGGCGGTGTCACCAACTCCTTTGCAGAGCCACGCATTCCATGCTTGGCAGCCATCAGCAGGTTTACCCAATGCGCAGTGTAAGTGATATACCTGCCCTTACCATGCTTTGCAGACCAGGTATCAGTGGTCAGATGGACCCTTGCCCCAACACTGTGTGCCAGACATGCCATTACTTCCTTTTGCACAATCGAGTACAGCATAGCGAGTAGATGGAAAAGCTTAGATCCTCCTACCACTCAGGAGGTGAGAAATAGGGTTCACTCGACATACGAACACGAACGATTAGCATTTAGGTTGAAGGACCGAGAAGATAAACACGCACGACTCTGGCATAGTTGGAGTGCAGCACATCCCCGTGGGCAATGGGATATGGGGTGGGGTTTTCCTTTTGTGCAAAGAAATTTCGTCCGGGTACCTTCCACTGCGGTGTCCCAATAGCTACAAATTTTTTGAACGCGCAAGACTCCACCAGCTTGTATGGTAAAAGGTGGCGGGCTAAGAGTTCAGTCAAGCCAGCTGTCATACGCCGGGCAAGGGGGTGACTTTGTGACATTGGCTTCTTACGCTCAAACATGTCCTTGACAGACACCTGACTTTGGGCAGATGAGCAGGAACTGCTCAAGGCGAGAGACGGAGGGGCGGATGGTTGAGAGGGGGCAAGGAGGACAGTAATGGTTAACGTGGCTGAAGATGCTGGTCCAGGAGGAGGATGGCGGCTTTGAGTTTGTGTGCTGCTTGTACTCATGTGTTGATCCCATAGGCGTTTGTGATGTGCGATCAGGTGCCTTCGCAAAGCAGTTGTACCTAGGTGGGTGTTGGACTTCCCACGACTCAGTTTCTTTTGGCACAGGTTGCAAATGGCATTGCTGTTGTCAGAGGCAGACACAGACAAAAAATGCCACACTGCTGAACTCTGCAATGACAGCATTCTGGTGGTGGCAACAGCATGCGTTGATTGGCGTGCTGTCTGGCTGACCCCGGGTGCCGATGCATGCTATCTGACTGTGCCATTAGCTCCTTGCAATGACCTCCCCCTGCTTCCAACTTGTCTCCTCCTCTCTGTCTCCCCATCTGAACTTTCCCCCTGTTCTTCTTTTGTTCTAGCAGGCACCCACGTGACATCCACGGACGCATCGTCATCATCAACCGCTTCACTTGTATCTGACAACTCAGCAAAGGAAGCAGCAGCGGGTACAACATCATCATCATCACACTGTACGTCCATGTGTGTAATGCTGCCTGACTGAGACATATCCCTGTTATCTACATCCTCTGGCAATAATGGTTGCGCATCACTCATTTCTTCCAACTGATGTGTAAATAACTCCTCTGACATACCAAGTGAAGCTGCTGTGGTGCTAGTGTTGGTGGTGCCGGCAGGCGGGCAAGTGGTAACTTGAGAGGTACCCAAAGCTAAGCTGGAGGAGGATGGTGCGTCAAGGTTCCGAACGGAAGCTGTAGAAGATTGGGTGTCCTGTGTTAGCCAGTCAACTATATCCTCAGAACTTTTCGAGTTCAGGCTACGTGGCCTCTGAACACTGGACATTATTCTAGGGCCAAAGGGAATCACAGCACCACGACCACGACGGCCCATGCGGGGTGGCCTGCCTCTGCCTGTCATTTTTTTTTTCGATTAGTGGTACTATGCGTGCAAGCTACTGTGACAACAGATATGAGTGGCACTGTGCAGTGGCAGAAGTTGGCAGAGTAGAAGCTGTAGGCCTGACACACACGCTTGCAGACAACTAACTGCTATTCAATCTATTACAGTCAAAAAAAAAAATTTTTTTTTTAAAATGTTCACTACTGTTACACCAGATATGAGTTGCACTGGTGTGACATTGTGCCCTGGCAGGCCCTGAAACGCACACATGTGAAGGAAACTGACTGCTATTATATTACAGTGCAAAAAAAATTTTTTTTGTTAAATGCAAGCTATTGTGACACCGGATATGAGTGGTGGCACTGGGCAAGTGGGCACAGTATACGCCGTGAGCCTGACACACACGCTGGCAGACAACTAACTGCTATTCAATCTATTACAGTCAAAATTTTATTTATTTTTTTAAAATGTACACTACTGTTACACCAGATATGAGTTGCACTGGTGTGACACTGTGCCCTGGCAGGCCCTGAAACGCACATGCGTGAAGGAAACTACCTGCTATTATATTACAGTCCAAAAAGTTTTTGTTTTTTTTAAATGCAAGCTATTGTGACACCAGTGAGTGAGTGGTGGCACTGGGCAGGCCCTGAAACGCACACTCGTGAAGGAAACTGACTGCTATTATATTACAGTCCAAAAAGTTTAGTTTTTTTTAAATGCAAGCTATTGGGACACCAGTGAGTGAGTGGTGGCACTGGGCAGGCCCTGAAACGCACACTCGTGAAGGAAACTGACTGCTATTATATTACAGTCCAAAAAGTTTAGTTTTTTTTAAAATGCAAGCTATTGTGACACCAGTGAGTGAGTGGTGGCACTGGGCAAGTGGGCACAGTATATGCTGTGAGCCTGACACACAGGCTGGCAGGCAGGCGACTGCAATTACATTACACAGGAAAAAAAAGCAGACTGATGTTCTAGACCTAAAAAGGGCTTTTTGGGGTGCTGTCCTTACAGCAGAGATCAGATGAGTCCTTCAGGACTGTAGTGGACACTGAATACACTAGCCTAGCTATCAATTTCCCTATCAAATCAGCAGCAGCTACACTGTCCCTCCTTTCACTAAGAATGCAGCTTCACAATGAATGTAAAATGGATGCTGTCCAGGAGGTGGGAGGGTCTGGGAGGGAGGGTCTGCTGCTGATTGGCTGGAATGTGTCTGCTGACTGTGAGGTACAGGGTCAAAGTTTACTCAATGATGACGAATAGGGGGCGGACCGAACAGCACATATGTTCGCCATCCGTGGCAAACCCGAACAAGCTTAGTTCGCCAGGAACTATTCGCCGACGAACTGTTCGGGACATCACTAGATATGAGGTGTGAAGGAGAGGTTGGAGTCAAAAAGAACACCAGGCAGCGAGCCTGCAAGGTAGAGGTGATGGTAGCGCCGTTGACTTGGAGGGAGACAGACACGGGAGTAGTAACACTTGAGGGAGAAAAGACCAGAAGTTCTGTTTTGGACAGGTTGCGTTTAAGAAAGTGGGGGGCGGCGCCTGACTTCCGGCGCGAATGGCGGCTTTCTGAGGGAGCTCCGTCCTCGGAGGCACAGACCCGGCGACCATTAGCACCCGCAACCGGCTTTCTCACACCCACCCGGCCACCTCGTATCTCACCCACGGTACCTCACTAAATAGCGATGGGGGGCGGGCGGAAAACGAAGCAGAAGTAGCTTCGATATTCCGGAGCCGCAAAGATGGCGGCGCCACGCGGGAGGAAGAAGAAGGCCGCGAATATGACTCTGACTCTGCAGCCAGTGACAGGAGCAGAACAATGACAGCTACCCCCCTCACCAAAGAGGACCTCCGCCAGCTACTAAGTGAAATCAAGGCAAATATGGCTACAGAATTTGACAGGCATCTCACACCCATCAGAGAAGGCCTGATTGACTTAACCCACAGAACTTCCACTATTGAGGAACAACTGGACCTGACAGTTACACGCACAACAGCAACTGAAAATGCCATAACCGCCCTACAAGAACAGCTCCGCCAGCTAGAGGAGGCACAAGAGGACCTGAACAACCGGTCCCGCCGAAATAACGTAAGGATACGTGGAATACCAGAAACGGTCACAATAGAGGCACTGGGCCCAACACTACGAGAACTCTTTTGTGGCCTGCTCCCAGAGGCCTCACCGGCGGAACTCCTACTAGATAGAGCGCACAGGGCTCTCCGAGCACCTATGCCCAATGCAACCCAACCCAGGGATGTCATCATAAGAGTGCACTACTTCCACATTAAAGAGGCACTCATGCAAGCGGCACGAAACACCCCACTACAAATAGAAGGTCACCAAATCTCCTTCTACCAGGACCTGGCCCCGAGCACCCTGCGCAAAAGGAGGGAGATGCGGCCCCTCACTCAGGAGCTCACGAGGCAACATATCCGCTACTCATGGGGGCACCCATTTAAGCTGCAGGTCCGGAAGAACAACCGCACCTACACCCTATACAACACCGCGGAAATGGCGGATTTCGCAGAGAGCCTCGGCCTGGATCCCACAACTCTCACCACGGATCCGAATCCCAGAAGACATGACAGAGGCCCTCCGCCCAGAAATGCACCACCGCTAGCCCCGACACGCCAGATACCGAATAGCCCACGCATCAGGGCCGACAACTAAATGGACGGACAACCACTCACCACTCGACGCACCAACAGAGGACCAACATACGAAATAATAAATAAGAAACGACACGGACTATTCTCAAGAGGGTTGTGGTCACCACAGCTGAAAACGTACCCGAACACGGAACCTGGACTGACTCCGGCACTAAGGAACACTGGCAACCCCACACCCCGATAATGGACTGGAAACAGCCTAAACCGCTGACAACTCTAAGCTCCAGATAAGATATAATTAACAAACTCTCTCCTTGCTTTATATAATGTTTCCTGTTCACTGTTTGGTTTCTAGGACTCATTCGATAGACAGAAATTATATGTCTCCAGCTCGCTACTTAGTCACTAGGTATCCTTCAATAGATAGAAACTATAGACTCAGGAATGTAGGCGGCACGCACTAGTACCCTTCTCGGCACCAGCCTACATAGTCACAGACCACTGCCACCCAGGGTGCAAAGTGGAACAGCTGCCCCACATTCACCCACCACACAGGTATCATAGATGCCACAGCATATAACACCACGACCTAGCACCAAAACAGAGCAGATACCCACAGAGAGGCACACCTTGGGCGGGGAGGAATGGCTGGGGCACCCCCCAACAATGGACATGGCATGCGCCCAATGATAGACACCTTTCAGGAGTACACCTCAAAACACCGATGGCTCCCTTGAGCGCAAACACTTCCCCAGGAGACTCAATAAAGCAGTATCCGGGACCATACTCTCCTCCCGCACTAGACACACTGGGACCCAGGAGATGCGGGCACACCCTCCACATAGAAAACCGGTGACAACACCACAAGCACCAGAGAGGCTGAGCGCAAACGGCACGCCCTGGGAAATAGAAGGACTTAGACAGGCACACCCTGAGCACATACAACCCCTAGGGCCCAATGCAAACCGGGGCACCACCAAGGATAGGATCGGACCAATACAGGGAGGGTCTCACACTAACCCACAAGACTTGCAAAGACAAGGCACCAGGCAACCGAGGGACCGGGAAAGTGTAGCTACAAATCAACCCCCCCATTCCTTCAGCCTCCCAGCCAAGGGACCCCCTAGGACTCCCCACAGGGAGACACCATAGGGGAAGATACGCAACACGGGAACCTCTGGACACTAAAGCAGAGGAAATGTATAACTAAATTGAAGTTGATGTTAAACTGTTGTGTTACAATGTAAAACTGTTACTCATTATTTTTCAGCTAACCGACACACCCCACCCCACCTCACGTGCTGACGGACGCCACTTACAGCAGACGGCATCACGCCGACATCTTACGACTGGACGGTGACAGCACACCCTCACCACCGCACCAATACTAGATCCACTAACGACCAGACCAACGCCCCACGGGCTCACAAGGTACGACCCTGCGCACACACGGCACGATACGCAGAGGGCTAACCTCACGGACGCAACGCCTCCACAACGATGACCGACCACAGCACACACGGTAACGCGGACGACTACTGAAAACTGCCTCTGGACGGCCCTGACCGGACGGTCGCCAACCCCCGACACACACACACCTACCCGAACTCACAGGGAAACCCACGGAGCGGTCGGACGCTTCGCCCCACTACCTACTGGCCTTCGGATAAGCCCAGTAGCACACTCTACCCATATCTCCCTCCCACTACCTTAATCCAGGCTAACACCCTCAGCCCTCCCGCCCTCCCCTTCCCCCCACCCCTCGCGGCCCGCGGCCACCCGGACGCGCAACTCAAGATAACCCATCACTGCAAACCCGCAGAGACCGCCACACTCCTACAGACACCATGCCTACACAAATAAGATGCATCTCCATTAATGCCAAAGGACTGAACTCCCCCAACAAGAGGCATGGCATTCTACGCTGGGCAAATAAACAACAAGCTGACATAGTCCTCATACAGGAAACCCACTTCACAATCAACCGCATGTTCCCCCTCACTAACAGATACTACACACAGAGCTTCCATGCTCCCTCCCCAGACACCAAGACCAAAGGTGTAGCGATCCTTTTGAGAGCAAACAGCCCCCTCACAGATATCACCTGCTCTAAAGACCCACAGGGTAGATACATCACAATACGGGGAAAAATAGGCACAACACAATACGCCTTTTCATCGCTCTACGCACCCACAACACCAGACCCAACCTTCTGGCAACAATTAGCGACCCACCTCAACACGTACTCAGCCACACGACTTACAGTGGGCGGGGACTGCAACGCAGTACACATACCTGCCATAGATCGGACTTCAAGCGCCAAAACACGAACTCGCCCAAACCAAAACGACGCCCTCTTCGCCCAATTCCTGGCTTCCCAAAAACTGATTGACATATGGAGGGCACAACACCCGACCACCAAAGACTACACTTTCTACTCCCACCCACACGGATCCTATTCACGCATTGACCACTTTCTCATTTCACCAAATTTACTATCTCAAATCACCAAATCGGAGATTGGACCTATCTCCTGGTCCGACCATGCCGAGATAGCAATCACTCTAAACCTACCGACCATACACACACACTGGTCATGGCGACTTAACCCAATACTCCTCCACGATCAACTGATTAGAGACAAAATAACTATAGCAATCAAAGATTATTTCGACTTAAACTCACCCACAACGACCTCACCTATGACCCTCTGGACAGCACATAAAGCAGTCATCAGAGGCACACTCATCAGCCTAGCCACCCATAAAAAAAGACAAACACAACGACAAATACTAGAAACGATGACAGAACTCCGCCGACTAGAAACGGAACACAAAAAGAACCCTAACCCTACCACCCTGTCCAAACTTACGGCGACCAGAAACCTCCTTAACACCCTCACACAAGCAGACACAGCCAAAGCTCTGATGTGGCTCAAACAAAAATATTATGAAAAGGGCAACAAGGCGGACACCATGCTTGCCCGCAGACTTAAAAAGCGAACTGAAGCTAAACGCATTACAAAGATACGCGCAAACGATGGTACCCTCACAGACTGCCCAACTAGCATAGGAAAAGTCTTCCAGGACTATTACACGGACCTCTACAACCATGACCACCGACCCCATGACACCAGCCCATTGCTGTCCACACGCATAGACACATTCTTACAAAGCACAACGCTACCCACCCTAAGGCAAGAGGCCCAAGCAGCCCTGAGCCAAGACGTCACGACAGAAGAAATGGCCATAGCAGTGGGATCCCTCAAACCAAATAAAAGCCCAGGACCGGACGGCTACACAGCCCTATATTACAAAGAATTTGGCCCATTACTCCTTACACATCTATGCGCGGTCTTTAACGCAGCACTCAAGGGAGAGAACCTCCCACCAGAAATGACCAGGGCAAACATCTGCATCCTCCCAAAACCCGGCAAAGACCACTCTGAACCCGCACACTACAGACCAATTTCCTTACTCAACGTGGACCTTAAAATCATGACCAAAATTATGGCCAACCGCTTAAACCCATACCTAAGATCCCTCATACACCCAGATCAAGTGGGATTCATCCCACATAGGCACGCCGCGGACAACACCCGGAGAGCCAACCACAGACGAATCCCTACAGCGATCATCTCACTGGACGCGGAAAAAGCGTTTGATCGCTTGCTCTGGCCGTTCCTCTACCATACGCTAACATACATAGGGATACCACCCGAGTTTACTTCATTTGTGCATGCCATCTATCACTCTCCCCAAGGGGCACTTCTACTACCTAACATCCCCCCACCACGATTCCCCATCTCAAATGGCACGAGACAGGGGTGCCCTTTGTCCCCCCTATTATTCGCCATATCACTAGAACCTTTGCTGCAAGCGGTGCGTGCCAGCCATGACATAGAGGGGCTAACGATCAGGGGAGAAACCTTTAAAATCTCAGCCTACGCGGATGACATCCTGCTAACACTGACAAATCCGGAAAAATCAATAAACTCGCTCCTAACTCTCATCCAAGAATACTCAGACTTGTCAGGGTACAAGATCAACCTGAATAAATCAGAGCTCCTCCCAATACAAATAGACGCTCCAAACATAGCTACACTCAAACAAATATGCCCGATGAGGATCTGCCACACAACGATGACGTACCTAGGGATCCAACTCCCAACAGACATCACCACTCTTTATAAAACAAACTACACCCCCTTATTACAAAAAGCCCACTCTGACCTCACTAAATGGAAATCACTAGGGGTCTCATGGCTGGGGCGCATCGCCACAATCAAAATGAATCTCCTACCCAGATTCTTATATCTATATCAAACCCTCCCCATACCGATCCATAAACAAGACTTTAAGGCACTACAAACAGCCATTGACACATTCATCTGGAATGGACACAAACCCAGAGTACGCTGAAACACACTATACGTACCCAAGAAACACGGGGGACTAGGACTACCACACTTCACACATTACCACACGGCAGCACACCTAACGCAGATACAACACTGGCACGTCCCACCAGGGGAAAAAAGATGGGTGGACTTGGAACACAACATCATCGGTAGGGACCACCCGTCCTTGTACATATGGGTACCCAAACCACATAGACCCCTACCCCCTCCCACCGCACCCTCAATCACCCATGCGCTTGATACATGGGACAAAATGAGGGACAAATTTGAACTGTCATCGTTCCTATCTCCTATGACCCCCATATGGAGGAACAAGCTATTCCCACCGGGACTTACCCCCAAGCACTTCGCCCATTTTAAACACAGGGACATCTCCCGTCTAGGGCATTTGTACCAAGACAACGACATTATAAAATTCTCAGATATCAAAGACTCATCCTCACTCACTTCATTCGATCACTTTAGATTCATACAATTGCGCAGCTTTGCAGAGACTCAATCATAATCATAAAACAAGCCGGCACGGCTCAACTCGATCGATTTGAAAGAGACTGCATTGCGCACCCCAACAGACAAGGACAAATCTCCGACATATATGCAACCTTGGCGACCCACCACACACAACTGTCTCTCCCATACATAGCGGCGTGGGAGGCAGACCTCGGGCCCCCAGACGAAACAACAGATTGGTCAGACATCTGGGAGGCAACGGCCTCCATCTCCATATGTGTCACGCACACGGAGCAAGCCTACAAAATGCTATTCCGTTGGTACCTCACCCCCCCAACGCCTGGCCATCATGCACCAAATACCAGCCAACACCTGCTGGAAACAATGCGGAGAGACGGGAACATTCCTCCACTGTTGGTGGACGTGCCCGAAACTCCAACCACTTTGGCAAGACACCACACGCCTAATCTCCAAACTAATAGACAAACCTTGTCCCGTAGACCCTTGGATGCTCCTACTCTCCAAGCCAATAGACCAATACACTAGAGCTGAAAATAAGCTATCCGCCCGCATAGCCCTAGCAACACGTAGAGCCATAGCAGAAGTCTGGTCAACAAACCGCATACCGACACAAGAAACAATTACCAAGAAGATAATAGATGGCATGCAAATGGATAGGCTCACAGCACAAATTCATGACTCGCCCAAAAAATTCCACAAAATATGGGACCCATGGCTGGAGGGAGACACGACCATTCCGTGGTAACACGACAGGATATTAACTGCCCCCCCCTAGCATAGGGATCCCCCAATCGAGGATATAACACAACTTCCAATAAGAACAACCCTCACCTAACCACATAGCCCCAAACACCAACCTGGGACCCCCGAGAGGGACCCGCGCGCTGGGTGGCCCGCGGACCGCGAATCCTCCCCCCCATGTCCACACCGCCCTATTCCACAACCCTTACCCATAACCACTCCTCGACTCGGACAAGACTGCACCCATACATAACGAGACAAGACTCACAAAGAGTCGACGAGTGACAAAACCCATCCCTTAAGAACGCAGAAACGACAGGGAACCTAAATAAGCGTTCAAGGAAGATACAATGTTAATACCATGTTGATACGAATGTAAGCTATTTCCAATATGCAACAGTACCCTGCGTTGGTACTGACATTAAATTTGAAAGTACTATTAAGTCTTGAACAACCCCCACCCACCCCTCCTTTTATTTTCTGTACCCCTCTCCCCTCCCTCCTAATTTCAAGGAGAAAACCCTACAAATAAAGAATTTAAAAAAAAAAAGAAAGTGAGCAGCCAACCAGTTGGAAATCGAAGAGAGACACGAGTCAAGATGGGCGGAGAGAGATCAGGAGAGGACAGGTAGATTTGCGTGTCATCCGCATAGAAATGATAACAGAAGCCAAAGGAGCTGATGAGTTTACCAAGGGAGGCAGTATAGACAGAGAACAGTAGGGGACCAAGGACGGAACCTTGGGGGACGCTGAGAGAGAGTGGTTGGAGGGGAAGAGTCAGAGAAAGAAACACTGAGAGAGTGCAAGGAGAGGTAGGAGGAGCACCAAGAGAGAGCAGTATCCCATAGACCAAAATTACGGAGAATGCGAAGAAGCTGTTGATGATCAACAGTGTCAAAGGCAGCAAGATTTAGTATCCAATAAGAATGCTCTCTGTATCCTAAACCCCCATGTGACCTAAGCCACTCCTCTCTTTCTTGTTAATGCTGACGAAAACTCAGTTCAAGAAACCTATAGTCAACGTGGAACCGAAACATCAACTTCTTGGGTAGATGAACTTGAACTCCGTGGGAGATGAGTCCTCCATTTAAAACATGCAAAGAACCAATGCACAACGGTGCCAAATCTGATTTATGAGGCTGAAAGGAACAGAGAAACAACTGGTGAAATATGTTTTTGGACAACAAAATATATTCATAATATGTAATTAAATAGACTAATAAATCCAAATTAAGCAGAATCGTAACTTACAAGAACCCTCAATAAGTGCATACCCCCTTAGTATCATAATTCCATTAGCAAATAAAAGATGCATATGACGGAGGGCGCCAACATACTTGTATCGGATGGAATAATAATTGCCTCCGTATCCTTAATAAAATCAAGACTTTACATCATGAAATTAGTAAAATCTGGTAATTTTATTGAAGGACATAGAGGCTCATATTATGCTAGGTCAAAGCTGTGAAACCACCACATCAGAAAAATTAGAAACTGGACAAAAATAAAATTCTCGAAAAGTGGATTCATGTGACCAATCAGCAACCCGTAGGAGATCTTCCAATCTGTATCCCTTGGTAACCACTTTAGATGCCAAGGCTCCCCTGACAGAATGTGCCCGTACTCTGAAGTGTTGATGCCAGCTGACGTCATAACCCATTTGACCCAATGAGATAAGGTGACCGTAGAAACAGGATGATGAGATTGTCTGAGTGCCAAGAATAATTCCTGACATGCTGGTTCACGATTTAAAGAAGTCTTAGATTCATATTCTTTGAGACAGTTCACCGGACATAGTTTTATATTCTGAGGGAAAGCTGGGTAGAAGACTGAGGTGATAGATGTTTTCATACGTCTTGAAATATCAAACGAGACACCCTCAGGAGTAAAGGCATGTGCAGAAATGTCTAAGGCATGGACATCCGACACACATTTACATGATATCAGGCAAAACAGCTTCACCGTGAGTTGTTTGAGTGAGAGGTCTTCATTCATTGGCCATTTTTCAAACGTGAGGAATACCTAGGTTGGGGTGGATGTGCGAATCTAATGCCCCGAAGGAGCCGGCACGCCAATAGGTGTTTTCCAGCTGGGAAGCCATCCAATCCGTGATGTCCCGCAGAAATAGCTGATCAGTACAAATTTATTGTATGATAGACTAGGCCATGGTCAAACAGTTAAGTAAGGAACCTCAACACATGACTCACAGGTGCAGATATGGGATCCACGTGTTGTTCCATGCACTCCATGAATTCCAGGCATGAAGGTAGGAATTTCGTGTTCCTGGAGCCCACGCTTCCGCCAGAAAGTCAAGAGTTGACTGTGGAACATCTGGGACGAAACAGAGACCCCGGAAAGGAGCCAAGCCAGTAACCTGAGATGTCCTTGCAATACTAGAGAATGTGAGTGTCAGGGCTCCCCTTCCCCTACCTGTCGGCGAGCGGAGTCCTCTCTGCGCTGCGCGCCACCCGCGTCCTCCTCCTCGCCTCCCAGCGGCAGCATGTGTAACGCTGTACGCTGGGTGTCCCCGCATTTATGTAAACGTGACCTGGCGTTAAAGCCACAGTACACTAATCACAGTGGGAGGTATAGATCTCTCCCACGCGTGATTATTAATTCTGATTGGAAGTTATCCAATCAGAATTAAGCACAGCTGTTATATACTTACCTTTCCTGTCTCTCAGTGCCCTGTTGTGGTCTTGTGTTACCTGTATTGCAGTTTGCTCGTGTTGCTCTCTGGTTACTGTTTATTTGGCTCGTTATTCCGACTTTCCTGTATTCTCCATTCCTTTGACCTCGGCTTGTTTCTCGTTCTCGTGTTTTCTGGCTCCCTTTACTTGGCTTGTCTCCTGACTATTCTTAGTGTGCTTAACCCGGCCATTCTTGGACCGGTATAGCACCCTTCCTTCCTGTGACCTGTTAGCGTGTTAGGTTCCCGAATCATGACAGTGAGTTCCCACTGGGATCCAACAGGAGGTCTGGTGAGGTAGAAAGTAATCTCGAGTAATCTATGGACATTTCCATGAGTGTGGGGAACCATGGTTGCGCCGTCCAGAATGGGGATATGAGGATCAAGGAGGTCTGGTTGCGTCTGAGATGAAGGAGCGTCCAAGCTATCAGGGAGAACGGAGGGAAAGCATAGTGCCAAGTGTCCGGCCACAGCTGCAAGAAAGTGCCTGATGCCAAAGCTTCTGGATCCGGTCTCCAGCTGAAAGATTTTGGTAGTTGGGAGTTCAACCAGGATGCAAAGAGGTCGATCCCCAGTGGACCCCAAAGCGACCGTAGTCGGAGGAAAATGGTACAATTCAGTTGCCAATTGCTGGTATTCTGCAGGTATCGGGAATTCCAGTCTGCCACCCTGATGGACATTCCGGGAATGTATTCTGTCTGAACTGAGATGTTGCGATCTAGGCAGAATTGCCAGAAATCCTTTGCTAGTACCGCCAATAGCAAGGACCTCGTGCTCCCGAGTTGATTGATGTAGCGGACTGCTGACACCTTGTCCATGCGTAAAAGGATGGAGCAGTTTATTAAAATCCCTACAAGACTCCGAATGGCAAACGAGCCTGCCAGGAGTTCGAGGCAATGGATGTGTAACTCCTGTTCATCTGGGGACCATTTTCCTCCTGTGGAGATATGACCGCAGCATGCTCCCCAACCCTGCATACTTGCATCCAACTCCACTACGAAATCCAGGATGGTCTTGAAGATTGCTCTTCCGTTCCATGCTTCCATGTGCTGCAGCCACCAAGTGAGTTCTTCTTTGACTGCGCAGTCGAGCAGAACAGAGTCTGAATAGGAGTACCCTAAACAAAGGTGTTTTGCCTTTAAACACTGAAGAGCTCTGTAATGAAGTATGCCTTGGGAGATGGCCTGGATCGAGGCTGAGAGAAGACCGATGATCAGTTGTCGCAGTGTAAGCACCGGCCACACCAGTGTCCAACGGATTTCCTTTCTGATGGTTTTTATCTTGGATGGTGGTAGAAGGAGTGCCCCTTCCACTGAATTGACGATGAAACTCAGGAATACTAATGACTGAGACCGACTTGGGTCTTGTGATATCACGAGTATATCGTCCACGTATATAATCGACGAACCCCTCTGCTTCGCAGAAGGCCTACTACAGGTCTCATGAGCTTCTTGAAGCACCAAGGGGCTGTTGAGAGACCACAGGGCAAGCATTGGAAACGCCACATGGTAGTCTCCTACTAGAATTGCAGGAAACATTGGCAGCCTTCGGTCATCGGCACAGTGAGGTAAGCGTCCTGAAGGTCGAGCTTGACCTTCCAATCCCCTAGGAGGAGTAAGTTTCGGAGAGAGTGAATACCTTCCATGAAATGGTGGTAAGCGACAAAAGCATTTACGGGGCGTAGGTTGATGACCGGTTGGACACCACCCCCTTTCTTGGGAACTAGGAATAGATTGCTTAGAAAGACTGTCTGTTGTGGATGTGTCTTTAAGATTGCACCTTTGGCGGCAAGAGACTATCTCTGCTGCAATTAGGGACCGGTCATGTGTGGAAAAGACCATTTGGTTGGGGAGAGACCATTGGACGGGGTACTGTACAAAATCTATGGCATAACCCATGACAGTTTGTAGGACCCAATAATCTGACGTTAACATGCGCCAGACATTGACAAAATGGTGTAATCTGCCCCCCCCCCACAATCGTTATGGAAGAAAGGGAGGACAGAAGTGGACTTACCATAAGGACGTCGGCCAAATGAAGAACCTCTGGCTTCATGGGACTGCCAAGGCCTGCCTCGAACTGGGAAGAATGGTGAGGTAGACTTGGGTTCAGGAGCTTGGTATCGTGAGTGAAATGACCCTCGAGAAACCCTGTACGAGTCCCGGGAGGAACAGCCGGACAGACAGCCCGGCATCTGACGGCCCCGCCAAAAACTCTTGGGGAGAATACCTTTTTCATATTGGGTTGCGCCTTATCAAGTTCGGTAAATGTCCCCACATAGGTGCCCAATTCCTTTACGAAATTGTCCCCAAAAAGGAAAATGTTTGCCTGTGGTCCAAGCTCAGATATAGCCAAGTAAACAATTTTGGGCTCAATCTTGATAAGAATTGCCTTCCGTCTCTCGGTGGCTAAAGCAGTATTGGCATTACCGATCAAACATATGGATTGCTGGATCCAACCCCTGGTGGCCAGCAAGTCTGCGGGAGTACCACCCGCCAAGGCAGTTTCGACCATGTTGAATATTTTTGCAGTTCTTGGGAGTTCCGAAGGGAGAAATCTAGGCCTTTCTTGGCCTTCCACCCAGACTTGCCCAAAAATTGGGTGATCTTAGGGTCCACAAAAAAAGTAGAGAGGAGAGTCAGCGCTAACGAATCCAAAGAGGAAAAGGCAGCAATCCCAAACAAGGACTCCCTCATGTGTCCTTGAAAATAATTGGAGAGATAGCAAAAACAAAAGGATGGGGCTGCGCCACAGTACAGAAGTAAATAAATATAAGTCCTAGCTTGGATAATTCCTGTATGTACAGAGTCCAGAAGATAGGAACTGTGATCTTATGCTGGTCTCTGGGTTGCGGGGTTCCGCTTTTTGTGGTGGTTAGGCATATAGGAGAGGGCGATAAGAGGTGAGAGGAGATAATGGTGCAGTACGTTCCAATGGGTGCCAATATAGAGAGAAAATGGTAGAATGCTTACTCACATTCAATAGAGCTTAATCCAGCTCTGGTGTGTATGGCTTGCAGCAGTATAATCCCCGCTTATGGGATATGCAGTGAGTGTCCTCTTGGTGCCGTACCGTAGTTCCAGGGGGGAGATGAAAAGAATGGAGACAATAATGGTGCTGTATGTACCACAGTAGATAAAAGATAATAAAATATAGTTTTAACACTCACATTTGGTAGAGCTTAAACTAGCTCTAGTGTGGTAGGCATACAGCGGTACAATCCCCGCTTCTGGGATATGGTGAGTGTTCTTTAAGATGGTGGTATCAGGGGCCCAAAAGGAAGATAATAAAAACAGCAATAGTGCTCTCAATAAAATATTACTGTTATATACAATAAAATAAAATATACTTACAATATGTAGAGCAGGCTGACTGCTCTACGATAACAGCATAGGTGGTCCACACCGTCCTTGGGGTTATCCCCAGACATGGAAAAAGGCCTATGGACAGGAAAAAATTTACCTGAATTGTAAGAGTCCTCATCGTCTGACTCGCTCAATGCCTCCTCCTGTTCCGACTCTGATTCTGATGATTCTGTCAGGGCTTTTGCCCTTTTCCAACTACTCACCGATTTTGCACGGTGGGTGGCTCTTAGTTGTGGTGGGACCACATCAACTTTGACAGGACGTTTTGTCTATACACGTGTTAGTAGCTTATACACTGATTTCGGTTAGATGAGTAAATAGACTACTAACTAAAGAATATATATCAATATCTCATTTCCACAACAGTTGCCATGTTTTTATTGAACACACCATGTAAACATTCACAGTGCAGATGGAAAAAGTATGTGAACCCTTGGATTTAATAACTGGTTGAACCTCCTTTGGCAGCAATAACTTCAACTAAACGTTTCCTGTAGTTGCAGATCAGACGTGCACAACGGTCAGGAGTAATTCTTGACCATTCCTCTTTACAGAACTGTTTCAGTTCAGCAATATTCTTGGGATGTCTGGTGAATCGCTTTCTTGAGGTCATGCCACAGCATCTCAATCAGGTTGAGGTCAGGACTCTGACTGGGCCACTTCAGAAGGCATATTTTCTTCTGTTTAAGCCATTCTGTTGTTGATTTACTTCTATGCTTTGGGTCATTGTCCTGTTGCAACACCCATTTTCTGTTGAGCTTCAGCTGGTAGACAGATGGCCTTAAGTTCCCCTGCAAAATGTCTTGATAAACTTGGGAATTAATTTTTCCTTCGATGATAGCAATCCGTCCAGGCCCTGACGCAGCAAAGCAGCCCCAAACCATGATGCCCCCACCACCATACTTCACAGTTGGGAAGAGGTTTTGATGTTGGTGTGCTGTGCCTTTTTTCCGCCACACATAGTGTTGTGTGTTTCTTCCAAACAACTCAACTTTGGTTTCATCTGTCCACAGAATAGTTTGTCAGCACTGCTGTGGAACATCCAGGTGCTCTTGTGCAAACTGTAAACGTGCAGCAATGTTTTGTTTGGAAAAGCAAACCCAGAACTGGTGTGTGTTTTTTATAGGGCAGCTGTAACCAACACCTCCAATCTCATCTCATTGATTGGACTCCAGTTGGCTGACATCTCACTCCAATTAGTTCTTGGAGATGCCATTAGTCTAGGGGTTCACATACTTTTTCCACCTGCACTGTGAATGTTTACATGGTGTGTTCAATAAAAACATGGCAACATTTCATTCTTTGTGTGTTATTAGCTTAAGCAGACTGTGATTGTCTATTGTTGTGACTTAGATGATGATCAGATCACATTTTATGACCAATTTGAGCAGAAATCCATATCATTCCAAAGGGTTCACATACTTTTTCTTGCAACTGTAGATGCATCGGCGAGACTATGCTTACTTATTGTAATATGGGAGTACATTATCACAGCAAAATTGTCACCACAGCAGATTTCCCTCCTTTATACTTTAATGATTGTTACCTTTTAAAACCTTACAATACTTTTGAGCAACTGGCGTGTACTTACTCTAAATTTTATTTGTCTCTAAATGGCTCATTTTCAGAAATAAACAATTGAAGATTTAAAAAAAGAAAAAAAGCAAGAAACCGTTAGGCCTGAGACTTGCAATTGCCTTTGTAAAGGCTGTAGTTGGAAGCAGCGCAGGCAGAGGGGTCAATATCTGTCTGAGAGAAGGAGGCACAGGCAGAGGGGTCGATACCTGTCGGGGAGAAGGAGGCACAGGCAGAGGGGTTGATACCTGTCTGGGAGAAGGAGGTGCAGGCAGAGGGGTCGATACTGTGATGGGATTCCAGCATGGTTAAAATTTAGTAGGCCAAAATCTCCATGTGGCATATGTGTATGTTGTGTCAGTTGGTTAGCTACATGTAGCTAGGATACTGTCATCAGTGTACTGAGCATGTGCAGAAATGCAGGAACTGAAATTGCACTTATTTCCTTTGTCTTGGATGGGCCATGTGGTTTGACTAGATGTACAAGTCTATATTCTGCTCATTGATTGGTTAAAGGTATATGTGGGTGTAGCTATTAATGGGAGGTGTTATGTGCCTATATAGGGAGCCTGCACTATTGTTCAGGGCTCAGAACTTGCTGTATTTTTGGTGACATTAGTCCCTCTGAGTCCCGATCGGTGATCCAATAAATAATCTCTTCCTTCCTGAAGAAACCTGTGTCCATCCCTCTGTGCTTTGCTTCCGTCAGTTTCTCCGGTATCATTTGGTGCATTGGCTGGGAAGCTCATCGTTCAACGGTAGCTGAGAGGCAGAGGCGTGAGACGGTCTATCTTTGCCCACGTTCTCTACGGCTGCACCCTTGAACTTCTGCGTGGACCTCCCTTCGTCTCAGCGCCACTGGTCTGTTGTCCAGGAGATCATCGGCCTCTACGTAAGAAGTGCTGGGGTGTCCCCGTCGATGAGTGTGAACTCAGGTTCAGGAACGAGGAGGTAAGACAACTGTTGTTTTAGACGGCAGACCCACTAGGGGTATACCGATTGTGCGGTAGGCCCAAAAGGGGTTTAAATCTGTGTATGGAATCTGCCCCCTCTGTCGGAGGGAAGGAGCGAAGGCGCACCGCTCGATCGAACGCTCTTTAGTAAGACCGCTTTGATCTGGTTAGTCAGGCGGGGTCCTGTGTAAATAGCCCTAGCCGGACACCGGTGTCTTGTCTAGACTAGCGTTCTAGGGTGTATATTACGTTCGCTAGGTCGGAGGGACCGGGAGACTAAGCGGCGCCTGTGTAAATTCGGTTCGCTAGCTCTCAACCTATCTTTGCTAAGTGGGAAGGCGTGTAAATTTGGAACCCCCTAGACTTTTGATAGAGTAAATAGACTAGAAGGGCAATTTTGTAAATTTCGCCCTCTAGTTCGCTATATGTGGTGTTTGGGCAGTGTGGCTAACCAAAACGGGTGTATATAGTTTTAGGTAGTCCATTCAAGGTACTGGCCAATAGTTTAGTTGGGATTATTGTAAATGTTGTTAAATATATTGTAGTTGGTGAATTGGTTAACTTGTATGTCCTACTAGAAAGTTAGAGCTCTGCTGTCTAGTGGGAGTGTAAATTGTGTGTATAACTGTAAAATAGCACACGGTACCATAACTACTGACATGTACCATAACCACTGACATTGTGTAAAAATTACTAACAATTGCTGTTTTATGTTATATGTATAATACCATAACTGTTACTAACTGATCTGTGACTTTCAAACTGTATTATAACCACTTACTAACTGTACCATAACCACTGACTGTAAAGATGAGGTTACTAGAATGTGATATAGTTGGTTAGTCAAAAGTTGATTTATAGTACAGATAATTGTAGAGATGAATTTGTTGAAATGTTATGTGATCGGTTAGTTTATATGGATTAATAGCGTGGATAGTTGCATGGTTTGAATAATAGTTACATTGATAAGTGTATAGTCTTTGGTGGGTTTTTGATTTAATTTCGTGTGTGCGACGTCGTGATATTGTTGAGCATGTGAGGATCCTGTGTGTGTGTTTGGGCCTAGTGACTGCGCAATGTGTTGCTGGTGATAAGGAGATTGGTGTGACTGTTGAAACTGTGTGTATATTTGTACAGTTTTTTGAATCAGATGCTCTGTTGAAATAATCTTCTGATTCACAAGGCTTTGTCTTGTATGTTTAAAAAAAAAAAAAAAAAAAAAGTAGGGAGTAGCTGGTCCTGGTGGCCGCATGGCCTCCATGTAGCAGTCTTCACTTAAATTTAGAGCAGGGTGTACATGTGGTTGTAACTAGTAGGCTGGAATTCTATGATCAGTTTCTATATATTGACTGTTGGAAACTGATTGTTGCCTTGGTGAATTAAACTGTGTCATATGGGAAACAATGTAGCCACATGGTGGTCAGAACTAAGGACTTAATTACAACTGCTTTGGACATCCCCTCCCCCCACCTGGCATCTGATTACCAACCCCCCAAACATCCTCCAGAGCCAGATTAGCCACGCCCATTTCTGGCTGGTATAATCAGTATTTGCACTCCCCCTGCTCTACTGTCCCAGCCTACCCACATACCTATCTGTTCCTGTGTTTCAAACTCTTGTATTTCTGTACTACCCCTCCCCCTAATCAATGATCAATGGTATCAGATGGTATATTGTTTTTTTTTTAGTTACTGGATGGGCCCCTCCCAGCTTTGTCCAAAATGTCCCCTTTTACTAAACTACAAACTGAAATGTTTAATTTACCTTAGAACTAAAGATTTAATCAAGCCTAGCTATCAGGGTGGACATTGATTAAAATAAGTAATAATAAAATAGGGACATAATTAATTAAAGTCTATTTGTTTCATTTGACTTTAGGGAGGCACTCTAAGCCACCTACTGGCCATCTTTGGGAGTTACATTGATAATACATTGTTTATAACAGATAGAAGTAGGATTGCTTACCCTATTTTAATATATTTATTGCTATAAGGTTTTATTTTATGTATAAATATATTAAAAGTTGAGTTTTCTTATTAGACCCATAAAGATTATTTTGATACAATTACCCTCTGGTGACACCTACTGGTAGGTTTTTGGTTTAACACTTTAAAAAAAACAAAAACGTTTTTTCATCCACCAAATGCTGACTAATAAAATTATCTTACTACTCCTAGACTGGAACCTATTATTGGGCAGCCTTGCCGAAGTCCCATATTAGACACTGCTTGAGTCAAATAGATTGTACACTCCTTTCAATCCTGAAAACTTCCGAATGATAGACTCAGCATTTGTCAGCCAGGCCCAAGGTGATAGTAAAAGGAAATTAAAGAAAATTAGAGGGATTTGTAGGGATGTCCATAATACAGCTAATGGAGATTGCAAATACAGTATATATGAATAGGGAGATGGAGGAAGAACATAAAATGAGGAAAAAGGCAGATATGCTAGCGGTAGCTATCTTAAGTGTAGAAAGACAGGGAAGTGAATAGAGGAGACGAGAATAGGCTGAGCAAGGGACCTTTAAGTAGGAATTAATGTGCGTATTGTAGAAAGGAGGGACATTGGAAGAGTGAGTGTCCACAGAGAGAGCAGTATCAAGGTGATAGACAAGAGAGAGAAGGGTACGAGGAGGTTATAGTGGTAGTTATAGAAGAAGAGGAAGTTTTAGAGGGAATGGTGGGAATAGTAGAGGAAGTGTTCAAGGAGACAGATACTATCCACCCACGCAGAGACCTAGAGAAAGAGAGGATAGAGATTTTGTGGGTCTGGCTGACACTATCATGGAAGACTATTGATACCGACTGGGCTCCATCCCACTTGGTCAAGCGTAGCCTATGGTCGATGTAGCAATAGGGGGAAAGAGAAGTTCTTTCATGATCGACACAGGTGCTGAACATTCTGTGGTGAAGCATTAGTTCCTATATATGCCAGAGTGTCCGATTCAACTTTTAGGACGAGATCTATTATCGAAGCTTTAAACTCAGATAACCTTTTACCTAATGGATTAACATCTCTGAAGTTTAAGGGATTACCAGGCATAATGGTGATATCGGTGCCGAGGGAAGAAGAATGACGCTTCTATTCCATAGTGACAAGTGTTAATCCTAAGAGTGATGAATCCTTACTTGACATTCCAGGAGTATGGGAAGAAAATAATCCTCCAGGACTTGCTCGTAATATCCCACCAATACATATTGAGTTAAAGCTCGGGGTGTATTCTGTTAGCCTTTGTATGTTGTTCTTTTATCTACCCCAACAGCTGTAAAGGTGGCGGAAGTGACTCCTTGGATTCATCATTCTAAGGTTAAACCAGCAGCAGACTCTTGGCAAGCTACTCCAGATCCTGAGAATCCTTGCAGGACCCGGTTGAAGCGTACAACTTAGTCGGAGTGACGAGGGGATATCGAGACATTCTAGTTAAAAGTCTACAAAGATCATCAAGTAGGTGTTTTGACGGCCATAATAAAGCCTGACCACCTGCCTACGTGTCATAGCCAGAGTATCTTGAAGGGATCTCTGTGAAGGAAAGTGAGGATCAGAAGAACAACATCCTTGCAGCCCTCACAATCGGGAAGCTGAGAGGCCATCGTACGGTCGAAGAAAAATGAGGATTTCAGGAATAATGTGTTTTATTGTGTCTTAGTATTTTTATGATTTTTCAGGAAGGTAGGAGTACAGACATACCGAATTGCGATAGTTGCATTAAGACTACTAAAACAGGTAACCAAATATCCCAAACTCTCATCTGGCACTCACAGTATGAATGTAAGGAATCTGTATCTAAATGTAGATATTTGGATATTGATTATAGTGTGTGCAAGCCAATATCAGGAGAGTCTAAATGTTTTGATCCCCATTTCCAACCCCGTACAATTTGGTTGGTAATTCGGAATAGTAACTCCCAGGGGACATTAATAAATAGGACTGTGATAAGCACCATACATTCCACGGGTATTCTACTATTTGATGCATGTAAGGCGATTTCGGGTAGTGGAAGACTTTGGAATGTATGTGGTAATCTTAAATGGGAACGAACTTATGGGTTTAATGATAAATATTTATGTCCCAGTAAAAGATCTACTGATCCTGATTGCCCAAATAGAGACTAACTTCTGCCCCTATTGGTCATGTGTAGGTTGGGCAACCTGGGAAAAACAGTGGATCAAGATATGATTATCCAAAGGTTGCCTTCCACACCATACTGTAAAACTATGTGTGTAACCCCGTTCACATGACCATTTCCAATCTGCAGTACTTTATTGACAGGTTTGGAGGTCTGTTTGGGTCCAAATATATGGCACAGGAGTAAATTCAGGAACAATAATATATGTAGGTCTTGAAACTGAGACAGTGGCAACTCAAACTCATCAGGTTTCTCATTCCTTCTATGAGGAGATGAGTATTGAGGATAAAATTCCCCATAATGTTAACAACCTATTTATTGATTTGGCTGAGGGTATTGCAGGTAGTCTTAATGTAACTAATTGCTATGTGTGTGGAGGTACTAATATGGGAGACCAGTGGCCATGGGAGGCAAAGGAAATATGGTACCCTGGCTCTGAGACATATGAACAACAGATACCTTTCCAGTCTGATCATCAAGTAAGTACTAGAAGTAAATTGGAATGGTGGTTAAAACCTCCATTATAGGTCATGTTTGTATAGCCAGGAAAGGGACAATGTATAACACGTCTGTAGGTGAGCTAACTTGCTTGGGACAAAAAGCCTATAATGTTAATACTAAAAATACTACTTGGTGGTCAGCTTCAAATGTCTCAGAACCATCTAACCCGTTTGCAAGATATGCCAATTTAAAGGACGTATGGTTTGATCTATCCATCACATCTAACTGGAGAGCCCCAGCGAATTTGTACTGGATCTGTGGTAAGAAGGCCTATTCGGAGTTACCACAAGATTGGGAAGGGGCATGTGTATTAGGTATGCCAAAGCCATCTTTCTTCCTGTTGCCTATTGAAACAGGTGAGACTTTAGGTGTTAAAGTGTATGATGTGAATCATAGGAAGAAAAGGGGACCCATAGAGATAGGTGCCTGGGAAGATAATGAATGGCCTCCCCAGCGTATTATAGATTATTATGGGCCAGCCACGTGGGCAGAGGATGGTACCTTTGGTTATAGAACCCCTATTTATATGCTCAACCGCATTATAAGGTTACAGGCGGTGGTTGAGATCATTACTAACGAGACATCACAAGCGCTCAATCTTCTAGCGAAGCATAATACCAGGATGAGGACAGCAGTTTACCAAAATAGATTAGCCTTGGATTATCTTTTGGCAGTAGAGGGAGGTGTATGTGGGAAGTTTAACCTGAGCAATTGCTGTCTTCAAATAGATGATGAAGGGCAGGCAGTGGCTGAACTTACAAGCCACATGGTTAAACTAGCGCATGTGCCTACTCAGGTATGGAAAGGGTACAATCCAAGTAGTTGGTTTGGTAGCTGGTATGAGTGGTTTGGAGGGCTTAAGGCAGTGGTAGGTGGAGTCCTACTGATTTTAATGTTGTGTCTACTCCTGCCGTGTCTTATACCCTTAGTAGTTAGGTCTGTGCAAAGCCTGATAGAAAATATAGCAGAGAGGAAGGCTGCTGCACAGATAATGGCAATTTATAAATATAAGGCTCTAGATCAGGGAGAACCAATGCAGGAAGACGAGTGTTGAAGATTCACATCATAGGATAAGTCTGGTCTGGTTCAAAGGTAACTTGTGGTGTATGCAAACCAAGGTTAAGTGATGCCTCAAGTAATTGTAAAATATCAAGAGGCATCAAAGGGGGGAATGTGATGGGATTCCAGCATGGTTAAAATTTAGTAGGCCAAAATCTCCATGTGGCATATGTGTATGTTGTGTCAGTTGGTTAGCTACATGTAGCTAGGATACTGTCATCAGTGTACTGAGCATGTGCAGGAATGCAGGAACTGAAATTGCACTTATTTCCTTTGTCTTGGATGGGCCATGTGGTTTGACTAGATGTACAAGTCTATATTCTGCTCATTGATTGGTTAAAGGTATATGTGGGTGTAGCTATTAATGGGAGGAGTTATGTGCCTATATAGGGAGCCTGCACTATTGTTCAGGGCTCAGAACTTGCTGTATTTTTGGTGACATTAGTCCCTCTGAGTCCCGATCGGTGATCCAATAAAGAATCTCTTCCTTCCTGAAGAAACCTGTGTCCATCCCTCTGTGCTTTGCTTCCGTCAGTTTCTCCGGTATCAATACCTTCTGGGAGAAGGAGGCACAGGGGTCGATACCTGTTTGGAAGAAGGAGGCACAGGCAGAGGGGTCGATACCTGTCTGGGAGAAGGAGGCACAGGCAAAGGGGTTGATACCTGTCTGGGAGAAGGAGGCACAGGCAGAGGGTCGATACCTGTCTGGGAGAAGGATACACAGGCAGAGGGGTCGATACCTGTCTGGGAGAAGGATACACAGGCAGAGGGGTCGATACCTGTCTGGGAGAAGGATGCACAGGCAGAGGGGTCGATACCTGTCTGGGAGAAGGAGGCACAGGCAGAGGGGTCGATGCCTGTCTGGGAGAACAAGGCACAGGCAGAGGGGCCAATACCTGTCTGGGAGAACGAGGCAGAGGGGTCGATACCTGTCTGGGAGAAGGATTGTTCCAGCCTTCATATAGCAAATATAATACTGCTAGAAGTTGGGTGCTCAGCGTCCTCACTTCAAAGAAACGTGCAGCATCTAACAATGCATAATGTATAGCTGCGTTATTTGGGGCAGAGCCACAATATTGCTGTTGCTGGAGCATCCATTGCCATCTTAAATTACTGCCCATCAGTACATACTAAATATTACTAGCTCTGTGGGTGAGCAAGCATGCCAGGGCCTGTATTTTATAGAAGTTGCAAGATTCTTTTGCTGAATCTGTGTACATTGCGTTATCATTGAGTCTGCTACAATTTGTCCTGATCCCTAGCCCCGGTGTCAGAACCAACTACTGTTGGCTCTAAATGACCCAGCTTATCGAGTTGCTTTAGGATTGTCGGAGGTGGATCTACTTTGTTGCACTACCTTAATCCACCATTATTCTGTCAAGTGAGAATTGCTGGAAATTCAAAGTGAATTTCAAATGCAAAGTCTTAAAGGGAATCTATAGTGTTAGGAATATGAATCTGAATTCCTAACACTATAGTTGTCACGTATTCATCCGCACATAAAAATGTGGTAAATGGCATTTACTGCCCTGACAGGAAAGGTTGTGCCGAGCAACAATACCATCCTGACAGGAAAAGTTGTGCCGAGCAACATTACCGTCCCGACAGGAAAAGTTTTGCCGAGCAGCAATCATGCACATGGAAACCTGGTAATTGCCTTTGGGGTCAAAGGCCGGTTGCAGCCAATCGGATGCACAGAAGGGGTATTTAAACCCAACTCTCCTCTTGCTCATTGCCCTGTCGTGGTTTCACCCTGATGGTTATCCGAGAGTGCGTTCCTGATCTTGATTTTCTGGTATTTGACTTTGGCTGTGTTTTGACTTCCCTGATATCTGATCCTTGGTTTTCCCTCATCTTTGTGTCTGATTCTGTGTCTCTGACCTCGGCAAGTATTTTGACTATCCTTAGTCCTAGATGTGACACAGTACTGTGCTCTCTGGTCCCCCTTCCCTCGCACCCTGCTTACCCTCCCCTCAGCTCAGGAAGAGTTAAATAACCCTTTACTTACTCATCCGATTCCAGTGCCAATGTCCTTTGGTGCTGGGTTGATGCTCTGCCTCCTCCAATATCATTTGACGGGGGGACCTAATGCGCATGCTCAGCGAGCGCATTAAGCTCTCCCCATAGAAAAGCATTGAATCAATGCTATCCTATGGGTATTTCATCAATGCTAGATGTCCTCATGCAGAGTGTGAGAACATCCAGCGTCATTTAAAGGACCTAGAGTCATGCAAACTCCCAGAAGTGCCTCTAGTGGCTGTCTTAATACAGCAATGTTTAGTTTCTCTAAAACTGTAATAATCTACATTGCAGAGCTAATGGGGACAGTTACACTGCACCTAGACCATTTCAATGAGCTGAAGCCTGCTCGATCCTGTCCCATCTCACCTCATCAGATCTCTCTCCCTTGTCTTGTGCCTTCCCTAACACACATCTTCAACTTCTCTCTCTCTTCTGGCGTTGTCGATCTCTGTGACTCTGTCCTCTCATGGTTTTCCTCTTATCTCTCCGAACGCTCGTTCAGTGTCTCCTTTTCCAAGGATACCTCCTCCCAGGGCCGGCCTTAGGCAATTAGGCGCCCTGTGCAAAAAGTCTTCACGGCGCCCCCCCCACCTCCCACCAAGTTGCCTGAATACAGTAACACACACAGGCACCGGGGACGTGTGTATCACGAGGCAAACAAGGCATCTGCCTTGGGCGCCACTTTGCAGGGGGCGGCAAAAAAAAGCATCCCTCCAAACCCCCAGGCAGATCCCTTGCTTGCCTCGCATCCTGGGGGGCTCAAGAGCTGACCGGCTGGCCACTTTTGAGCCCCCCCAAGGCTGGCAGCGGGCAGCGAAGGAGCATACTCACCTGAGCTCTTCCTGCTCAGCTTCCTCTGCGCCGCTTAATGAAGCCGGGAGCCAGAATATGACGTCAGTCCGGCTCCCGGCATCACTAAGCGCTGCTTACTCAGCCTGTGCGCCCCCTGCCTGCCTGCCCAGCAGCCACACTGGACTGCTGGTAAGAAATCCACTCCAGCTTTCCCAGGGAGGCTGGGTGGATTTAAAATAAATGTAAAAAATATTAGTTTGTGAGTGTTAGTGGAAATGTCTGTGTGTGTGTCTGTGAGTGTTTATTTTGAAGTGAATGTGTGTGTGTGTGTGTGTGTGTGTCTGTAAGTGTGTAATTGTGTGTGTCTGTAAGTGAATGTGTGTGTGTCTGTGAGTGAATGTGTGTGTTGGTCAATGAGTGTATATGTGTCAGTCAGTGAGTGTGTATGTGTCAGTCAGTGAGTGTGTATGTGTCGTCAGTGAGTGTGTATGTGTCGTCAGTGAGTGTGTGTCGGTCAGTGAGTGTGTAAGTCAGTGAGTGTGTAAGTCAGTGAGTGTGTAAGTCAGTGAGTGTGTATGTGTCGGTCAGTGAGTGTGTGTCGGTCAGTGAGTGTGTGTCAGTCAGTGTGTATGTGTCGGTCAGTGGAGTCGTGCATCTTTCAGTGAGTGCTTGCGTCTGTCAGTGAGAGTGTGCATCTGTCAGTGTGTGTCCAAGTAATAGTGTATGTGTGTATGTCATTGTTTGTCAGTGTATATGAGAGTGTGTGTCTGTCAGTGAGTGTGCGTCTGTCAGTGAGTGAGCGTCTGTCAGTCAAAGTGCGGCCTTGACAGGAAGGGGTGGGGGAAATTTAAACTCGGTTACAGGCATGTACACACACACTCAGTTAAAGGCAGTCACACATACAGGCACAGGCACAAACAATGGCACAGCTACAGCGACACACACAGACAGACAGTCACATAGGCAGTCACACACACAGACAGACAGTCACATAGGCAGTCACACACACAGACAGACACACAGTAACACACACATAGACAGTTATACACACACAGGCAGGCAGTCACACAGATAGAAAGTCACACACACAGGCAGGCAGTCACACACAGACAGATAGTTACAGACAGACACACACAGGCAGGCAGTCACATACAGGCAGTCACACACACAGGCAGTCACACACACAGACAGACAGTCACACACACAGACAGTCACAGGCAGGCAGTCACACACACACACAGAGACAGACAGTCACACACACACACACAAGGACAGGCAGTCACACAGACAGTCACACACACACACACACACAGACAGTCACACGCACACAGGCAGGCAGTCACACAGACAGTCACACACACACACACAGACAGACAGTCACACAAACAGGCAAACAGTCACACACACACACTTACCTCTTTCCAGTGGATGCAGTTGGCTGATGGGGAAGCATCTTTCCCTCTTCCTGTACAGCAGGGGCTTCGGGAGGTATTAGCCCCGTCTCCGCCTCTCGATAAGCCCCGCCTCCGCCGCTCGGTAAACCCCGCCCCCTCTGCCGCGATTTTTTTTTTTTTTTTAAATAGACCTGGGTGGAGAATAATTAATCCTCCAGCCAGGTACCTCTTTTAGCTCCCCTGCACTCCGGCCATGAGTGAGCTGTGTCGGCCACAGGGCGCCCCCTGTTCCATGGCGCCCTGTGCGGTCGCACAGCTCGCACACCCCTAAGGCCGGCCCTGCCTCCTCCCCTTGTACTGTCTCGATTAAAGTTCCCCAAGGCTCTGTCCTTGGTCCCCTTCTATTTTCTATGACCTCCAAGAGTTACCTCTACCTTAAACATCTTTCTCTTGCTCTCTACTATAGAACAGCACTTTACCCCCTCCTCCAGCTCTGTTTCTCTCCCACCTTATTTGATTGATATTTCCTGTTCTAATGTGTTTTATACCCCACCTCCTATAGACTGTAAGCTCGTTTGAGCAGGGTCCTCTTCCACCTAGTGTTCCTGTATGTTTTCTTGTAATTGTCCTATTTATAGTTACTTCCCCAATCTCATAATATTGTAAAGCGCTATGGAATCTGTTGGTGCTATATAAATGACAATAATAATTATAATAAGTGGTCTGGGTGCCTATAGTGTCTCTTTAATTGCCAAATTAAACACAGAACTGACTTAGGAAAAAAAAACTCTACCTATTTTGTCCACAATTTTGAAAATCACTTTGAATTGCCTGCAATTCTCACTTTAGTGAATAACCCTGAAAGTCTTTCTCCTAACAGGAGAAGATAAAAGACAATGGAGTGTAGAAACCACAAATCTAGAAAAACAATGCTGCCTTTTGTTCATTTGCCCCATATCCAATACAGCACTTGTTTTAAGAGCCATCAACAAACTGCTGAGGATTTTTCCAAGAGAAAGTAGAGTTGCAGTTTTATTTCAGATACTATTAGCTCCAGTTATTGCATCCCATTCGGTCTCTAACTCTATGTATACTGAAAGATCAAGAAACAGAATATACCTGACACTGTGTTCAGGATAGAATTCACAATTCATAAACCGTGTGTATTCCAGTGAGATTTGTTTACTTTACTCCCTAATAGATTTTCGGGAGGTAGGTAGTCCTTAATTTGTCTTAAAAGAGAATTCGACTGTCTGAACAAAATGATAGGATTTATTCTACAATAAACAATCTATCCTGGAGTAGGGAGTGCAGTGACATTCTGCTGTGCACATGACCTCTAGTGCTCAATTAGCCCCTTGGCTAATCCACGACAGCTGGAATGGTAAATGTTACAATTAGTGGTGATGGGGATTATGTTTACTAACAATGTGTTAAAGAGAAACATGTAAATTAAAGTTTCGGGGGGGGGGGAATAAACTTTAATAAGATGTCACATTTAGTCTTGATCTTTGATGCCATTGGCAACTGTCTGAAAACTTGAATGGTTAGTGGCCTGCGTCACCCCACTTGCCACCTGTTGCTAGGCAGATTCGTGCCACACACATGGGCGCCTAACTCCCACTTGTTGCCAGGCAGATTCTGCCTGTGACGTGTCGGAGCGTTCAGATTGTTTGTTGATACATTGTAGCAAGCCTGTGCGGACGTGCTGCTTGGCCTCCATTGTGACGTCACCAGCGCAGCTGCCTGTCACTGGCTCCGCCCTCTCCTTGTTTACTCTTGTGGTTCTGGCTTGGAAATTTTAGAGCATCCAGTGTAGCAGGATAGTCTGTGTCAGGCACATCCACAGCGGCCACATCTCTAACCTAAAGGCCCTTCCATATCCCAGCTCGTCTTTTCCTGGTCCCAGACAAGACCTAGGCGGGGCTTAGTGACTTTTAGGGAGTGGAAGAAGAGAATAACCCAAACAATTCAATCACTTCGCAACACCCCTCCTCCTCTTGCCATAAGTATCATCATCAACAACAGGACCGCCCTCTACCCTGCTAGGAAAACAGGGGATCCAGCTGTGGGCTACAGAGCTAGGGGGAAAATCCTGTCCTGAACCTCCATGTTTTAATTTTGGGGTTCATTTCAGCTTTCTTTGTACTCTACAGCCTGTTGGAGGCTCAGTTTGGTTAAAAACAGAGTGGATTCCCTGTAGAGAGAGTAAAAAAAAAATAAAAAAAAAAAGAGTCTGATTGTACAAAAGAAGAGTCGAGTAACTCGAATGTTTATTGCTGAAAATCTATTTGAAAAAGAAGAAAGCATCGATTGGTTTTATGTTGGAGCTTCCTATTTAAAGTTTAAATCACGCACACTGAAGGGGTACAATGAAGACTGAGATCTCGACAGCCGCTTCTTTTGTCACCAAGCTGCTCAAAACAAGTGGAGTCATAGAAGAGGGCCAACTGCAGCAGTTCTGCCAGTCACTGCAGGAGTCAATGAAAGGTGAGGAGGTTTTCGAGGATTTGGTGATAATAGTATGCATCCTATTTAATATATTCATACTATTGCAGAGATGGATGGGGTTGGCCATGCAGCTGTTTAAACTACACGTTCTATGATGCACAGCCTGCCTTGAGGCTGGCTGAGCATTATGGGGAAGGTAGTTCATAAATAGCTGGTGTGTATAGTTTAGCACAGTGTTAGCGTAGTGGATTATATGATTACCACATTAAAATATATTAATTTATATTTAGTAATGTTTGATTTAAAACGTTTAAATTACATTTTATACAAATATTATTTTAATAACTGTAGGGAACGTTTATTATTATTATTATTATTATTATGTAATAAAGAGGTAGTTGGTGCAAGGGATGCTCACCCTGCGTTGGAGAGAGGGCAAGCTTGATGTTTCCATAATATGAACTTTAAATTGTGTAAAAAATAATATATCCAATTGTTAATACGCTATAGATCAGTTTCCATCTAATATGTACATGATTTCTGTTTCTTGTTCATGAAAACAACATTCTTTGTTCATTGGTGTATGGGGGATGGGACCCAGCAAGCATTATTATGCCATATGTTATGAGGACGCTGTAGCAGTTGAGTAGTAACTCTTAATAAGAAGTCAGTAAAGGTTTGTAGTACTAATTATAATATCAGTCATATATGTATTATATATTAGTTGCAATAAGTAGCATCACTTTACTTCATTAGATTCTGAAAAAGAAAACTCCCAAACTAGAAAACATTAATGGGTTCAGTCACAAAACATTGATGTTTAGTTTGTTCTCTAGTTAATAACAATTAGTTTATTTAGAAAATAACCCTGGCACTGTATTATATACAGATATATTCACTAAATCATCGACTGAGGACATTTGAAAATGCAATTGCAAATGTTGTCCAGATTAGCTGGATAAGTAAAAAAAACAAACAGAACTCTATTTCCTTCTTCATGCCGCGAATTAACCCAACAGATTTTATTTTTAAGGATTAAGATGTAAACACGAGATACATGGATCACTCTGTTGCTGAGGACCTAGTTCGAGTTATGGCCCCATAGACAACAAGTCCCTTACATTTCTTTCAGGGTTGGCATACTAATGCTGTGTGTGCAAAAGACACTGGTTCCTTTGATGGGAAGAAAGAGCGGGCAATGTGTTTTATAACCATCCATTGTAGATTTTAATGTGGTCGATGTTTGAAGATGTGTTTTGAAATTAATAACTCCTAAAATGTTTCTCTTTTCTTCGTCCTGCCCCTTTTTTACTCCAATGCCCTGTTGTCTCCATCTCTACACTCCCTCACCCCACTCCCACTTCCCCTCTTTGTTTGCAACAGATCATTACAAACACCACTGGTTTCCCCAGATCCCTTTCAAGGGTTCAGGATATCGCTGTTTGAGGATCAACCACAAAATGGACCCACTAATTGGCCGTGCAGCAGGTCACATTGGGCTCAGCCACAAAAGACTGTTCCAGCTTCTTCCCAGCGAACTCACACTTTGGGTTGACCCATTTGAAGTTTCATATCGTATTGGGGAAGACGGGTCAATCTGTGTACTCTACGAAGGACCATCTGCAAGCAAGTCACTGGAAAACCATGCCAGTTGTAAAGAAGCACTTAGAATTGGTCAAAATAGTCCATCGAAAAATTGTAATTTGATGACTGTTTCTAGTTAACAATTCTCACAAAGCCCCAAAGTTAATAGTAAAGTTAAGTGTGTATCCCATTTGAGTCTCCGATTTCATTATGAATTAAGATGACATTAAATGTCTCATCGTCAACACATAGACATTAAAATTGTATTACTGCCAAATTTCCCCATTCTTATTGCAAAAGGTGAGTGCAATGCATCCTTTTGGGGTTCAAAAGCACTTACTGTCATTGTTTATCCTTTTTTTGCTCTTCTCTATGGAATTGTACAATGTAAATGAAATCTCAAAGTGAAAGAGAATTTATATTTTGGGATAATCAGTGACACTTTTTAATAAAGCCAAAGTTTACTTTTCATCTGGTATGTTCTATGGGTCCAAGGGAAGATATTTTTGTGAAAGCTCACTGACTTCCAGCATATCATCTCCTCCTGGTAAAAACAACAATAACATTATAATTAATACTTTGTATGAACCCATTAGTGAAAAACAGCAACAGAGGTAGACATTTTATAAACCAAATTGCAAGCTGTAAAAAATTTTCATACTTTTGCGTAAAAAAATTGCCTTAGTCATGGAGAAATAACAAGAAATTTTAACCCAAAATAAGTGAGTTGGAACAATTCTTCAACTATATTTAATTTCCAGATCTGCTATTGTGCCCAAATTGTTTAATTCCATTGTCAGTTCTCCGCAATCATCAGTACAGTGAATAAACATCAGTAAAAAAAAAACCAAACAACAAAATATTACTCTGCTCATCCTTATTACAGCTGGCCCCAAGTGTAATAAGCTTAATGTGGTCAATTCGCTGAATGCTGATTATCCTTCTTTTATTTTTCTAGCTCAATTCTACAACATTCTGTTAATGAAATTCCATAGTGGTTTTCAGCATTTTCTGTCTACCGACTGCTAACTGAATGGATCCTAACTCTTTTCGAATGGATGTCATTACTGTAGAGGGAGTCATTTGAAAATAGCTCAACCAAACTATAGCTTAATGCCATCAAATTTCCATTTAACATATAGCCAGCAATTGGGTTGATTTCAACAGCAGCAAAATGGAAGGATGAATTGGGTTAAGGTTCCTGAATTTTACTTTTGCGAATAGCCGAATTGTGACAAGTGAAGAGTATTTAGTTGCCATCTATGCATCAAGTGAACAGACCCCAATGCAAATTACATTCTTCGTAGGGATATCAGGTGTAAGCTTACCTACAACATCAAGGTGCATTGTCAATACGTTATATGCTTCTGCCCCAATTTTTTTTTTTTTTTAAAGTGTTGGTTGTTAGTAGCTTCACATATAAGTACTCTTATTTTCAACAAATATAAAGGGGATACAATTGTTTTAACTACCATTTTCTATCGTATGTTCTCCTTCGGCGCTGCTTCTCCACCTCCACCGCCAATGTCCAATGAAATACTCCTCAAAGAGGGGCACTGGGGACAGGCTTTGCATGTGTGGCAAATACTACGTGCACATCCCTGCTTCCCCATAGGAATGCGTCGAATCAATGCTTTTCTATGGGGACTTTCTCAGTACGTGACCTATGACAGCCACTAGAGGAGGCTATAACTCTGGAATGTTAACATTGCCATTTCTTAAAAAGCGTTTTACATCGCAAGGTTACAAGGACAGGGCCACTGTACCCAGACCACTTCAATGAAATGAAGTAGTTCGGGTGGCTTTAGTGGTCCTTTAAGTGATACTATTGAGTGTGATATCACAAAGGTGTAGGGTTAGCAAAGTTATACCTCATTTTGTCTAAATATGTTTAGATACATTTTGTATGCTACACATCATAATAATACAAATATTTGTATATATCAAAATATTTTTTAAAACCATGGAAAATAAAAATCTATATTGTTTTGTATGAAATATTAAGGCAACATCAATAAAATATCTTTTGTGTTTAAAGGAAGGGGTTGTGTTTGCCCTAAAAGGGGACACTGGGCACGAGCACAACCTAAATGCAATTTATGGAGTTTTTCTTTGTAACCCTGCTGTAACATTCTCCCTTCTTAAATCTCTTTAGTTTTTGAATAAAAAAGGAAAAAGGTATTGCAACGTTTGTTTAAAGGGGACATTCTGGGTACCAGTACAACCTGATCTCTAAGTACGGACTCGTGCACAGAGAGCAATGTGAACTGAGCTCCTGAAAAACAAGGACCTTGCAGGACAAGAAGAGACAGCCCAAGGACACACATTATGACTCGTGAGTGTATGACAGACAATTAATTCCTGTGTGTCTGCCCATGTAATGCCCACAGTAGTCCTATACCCCTGTTAATGTGGGCCTGTTGCCACAATTTGCCCATTCCTTTTTAGAATGACGAGGGGACTCGCACAGATCTTTTTCTCCTGAACAGCTGTTCCACAGCCCACTGTGAGGTTCATTTAAGTTCTCACCTGCTTCCTGAGATGTTGTTTATGGGATTATGAGATGTACAGGGAGGGCAGAGTCTCCTCGTAGCTTCTCACTGTAAAACAACTTATTTGCCACTTTTGAAATTGGAAGGGGGCTGTGAAGGACCTGCCAAAATAAATGCTTTACCCTGAATGTAACTAGGATTTCCTTTATGGACTTAGCAATACTCGTAGTACTGATTGCAAACTGAATGACAGAGAAGCATTATATTGCTGATCTGTCTCTACATCCATATTAATGACCAGCATATTAGCTTGTTATCAGTACTATAAATTGTATTGACTGCATGAATGAAATGGCTATCTGGGCCCCTACTGGCCTGCCAATATCGTCCCAGTGAAGTAAGATAGTAAATAATGTTACTTTGAGGGCAGTATGAGGGGGTTACAATTGCCATCTCTGACAAAAAAACAGGTATTCAGATAACAAAAAACAAGCTATTAATACATAAACAGAATACGCACAAAAGTAATTTAAAAGGGGTCATTATATTTAGTACCTGTTTATTCACTAAAGTGGCAGTTAATGATAATTGCAAATTTTAGAAGTCAGTAGCTAAATCGAAACAATTCAGCAACTTTTCGACTTTTGCTTTTATGGTTTTATTGACTTGCACAATTTCAAGTTTAGTGAATAAGCCTTTTAGAAGTTAACATTTTAAAATTGCTCAGGTATTTTAGACACAAGTGGGTTAAAAGCTTGCACTCTTAACCCTTTAAGGACACATGACGGAAATATTCCGTCACAATTCCCTTTTATTCCAGAAGGGGTTAATCTACTTAGCCAAGGGTTAGAGTGATGTCTTCCCAAATGTTTTGAAACTACATCTTTCAAGAATTCTTGACGGTGGTAGGTTTGCAGAGAATTATGGGATTAGTGGACTTAAGGGAATACTCCAAGCACCATAAACACTAGCATGCACTTATGTGAGTATGTGGCCAGAAGTGCACTGATATATACCTTTTCCAAAGTAGTATGGTTTGAAATTTTACCTGGGGTAGGTTGGCTCCACTGCCTGTTTCATCTAAGCTTTCAAGGGAACTGGAAGCTTGTGCTTAGGAGTTACATCTAGCTCGTCTGATCATCAGAGCATCAGCTGATTGCTCTCAGTCAATGAGCTAAACTCTGCCAGGTTTAGCTAAGTCAGAGAGCTTCCGGACCACCTGTAGCTGTGGTGGACGCGAGGAACAGCACCTGGTAGTCCCAGGAAACCGTTCTAAAATGGTTTGACTACTTACAATGAGGGACGTCAAGGTAGTTCTAGCACCATAACCACTTGAGTGCACTGTAAGTTTTATGGTGCTTGTGAGTTTCTTTAAGTTTTCAATGTTGTAGGTTAAGAAAAGAACTAATTCCATAATGTGTTGTAAAGCTATGAGTTTGTTGTCATGTTCCTATTTTTCCAACTTATTTTACCCTAAAAATTCAAATTCTCTTGCATGTTCTCCACAATTCCCGAGGAATAAAGAAATTGAATTTTGAAATAGATGGCAAGGGGTCATCTGATCCAACGATGGACAGTAACCTTTAACTCTGCCATTCCGACTATGTTTACCATTTGATCTGATTCCTTCTAGTGCTTCTTTGACGTCAGCTTCATTCCTGTGCTCTGTGAAAAAACATATGTATCTCTCCTGTGTTTACTGTTAATTTAAATTATACTTACGATTTCCTACTATTAAGCGAAAGCTAACGTGGTGAATGTCAGATATGGCCCCTATGACATCACATGACTTTGTTACTAAATTATTGAATATGTTCTCAGTATATATAATGACCAATTTGCACAGATCATTGTTTGTCATTTGGATAACATTGGGACACACAAACACAATCATTTTAAATCAATTAAACCCCCTCAGATTAGAAATTCATTGGAATAACTTTCCCCAGGCTTTCCTAGTATAGTCTCTCCAACTGTTATCTATGAAAACAGCAATGTCAAGCTTGTATTGTCTCTAAATAATCCCCCCCCAGCGAGAGGGCTGGACTACAGAGCTGCCACCTATGGCTTCTGTAAAAAGATCAATATCTAAATAGTGCTAGAATGCAAGTGTGAGGTCATTACTGTAAAACAAGACAGGAGCTTGAGACAGTAAGAACAGTTGTTTATATGTAAATTACCATATATACTCGAGTATAAGTCGACCCGAACATAAGTCGAGACCCCTAATTTTACCCCAAAAAACTGGGAAAACATATTGACTCGAGTATAAGACTAGGGTGGGAAATGCAGCAGCTACTGGTAAATTTCTAAATAAAATGATATCCCCCAAAAATTATATTAATTGAATATTTATTTACAGTGTGTGTATATAATGAATGCAGTGTGTGTATGAATGGAGTGTGTGTGTGTATGAATGCAGAGTGTGTTTGTGTATGTGATGCAGAGCCTTGGTGGGGGTGTGGGCATTTTTATTATTTTTTTTTAATTATTATTATTTTAATTTTTTTTTTTTTGTTATATTAATATTTTATTTTTTTATTATTTTTAATATTATTAATATTTTATTATTATTTAAATTTGTATTTATTTTTTTTCGTCCCCCCTCCCTGCTTGATACATGACCAGGGAGGGGGGCTCTCATTCCCTGGTGGTTCAGTGGTGTGCACTGTGTAGGATGGGGCTGGCAGCGAGCTGCAACTTACCTTTCCTGCAGCTCCTGTCAGCTCCCTTCTCTCTCCTCCGGTAAGCTCCTATGTCAGCTCCCCTGCAAGTCTCGCGGTGTAAATGCCGCGCGGTAACCCGTGGCAACGCTCTGACCCCGCGGCTCTCGCGATACTTACAGAGGAGCTTACCGGAGGAGAGAGAAGGGAGCTGCAGGAAAGGTAAGTTACAGCTCTGTGCCAGCCCCCAACAGGACCACCGGGCTTGTAATGAGCCCGGCAGGCCTTGTCTGTATTATGGCAATGTAAGTTGCCATAATACAGACAGTGACTCGAGTATAAGTCGGGTGGGGGTTTTTCAGCACAAAAAATGTGCTGAAAAACTCGACTCATACTCGAGTATATACGTGATTTGTACAGGAAGCTTCTGAATACATTTCTTTATAGCACTGTTCTAATGGAATGCATACATTGCAGGTTTAGTGGAAAATTGAGGTTAAGGGGAAAAACCTAATTACAATAAATACCTACTATAATGTTTAATACCTGAACTTTTGAGTGACAGCAGCCAGAGAAAGTGTATAAGATATGGACTACACCTACCTATGCTAAAATATAAAAATAGCCGGTCAAGTTGCATTGTCAATGAGTACTGAGGTTAGATCTCTCCCATTACGAAGGTCTATGGATGGGAAAGTATCTGAGGAGACAAAAGAATCTCATGGGTACCACAAAAAAAAATCTGATCTGACTACCAGCTCCATTCATTTAATGTCCTCAACCCTGCCTAACCATTTACTGATATATGGTTTGAGGCCTCTTACATTGCTCAAAGTCTGGGCCTGACCCTGAGTCTGCCCACAATGATGCAGTGTGTGTAGTGTATGTGTGTATATATATTTTAACCCCTTGAGGTAAGAGTAGACTGGGTGCCTCCTAGCACTATAACAACTTCATTTAGATGAAGTTGTTATGGGGCCATAACATGACCAAACTATCCCTTTACGACAACTTGAATCTAACATCTTCAGTTTGAGGGCTGAGGCGACATCACCTCCTCTCCAATGAGGTTATAGACATTCCAACTCTCCTGGACGCTCCGGGAGTCTCCTGCATTTTCAATGCGGCTCCCTGACTCCCGCAAATCATATACAATATCCTGGAAATCACACACACACAATCTGGCCGATTGTGTGTGTGATTTCTGGGATATTGTATATAATTTGTGGGTCACACAGTGCATGACTCTATCTTTCTTACAGTAAGCCCACCCACTCCAAGGCCTGGTAACGTAAGTTGGGGTACGACCCCATGACAGAGTGATACAGTGCCACTAGCTATCTCCAATAGCAGCTTGTGTTATAAACATAAAGAGATGCATACCCTTATTTACCTATCTGCCTGTGTGTAACACCTGTGGATCGTTCAACCGGCTCAGTTGGTGAAACATCTGCTCATGATGTCACTGCTTCCACTGCAGCTCATGAGCAGTAAATAAACAGATTTTATTTGCAAATGTGCTAATCATATAATTATGGTGAGGTATTAGGAAGACCTGTACATTTGCTTATATGTAATAATGGTTGTGAAGGGTTCCTCTGTCCTATTTTTCCCCTACCTGTTTTTCTTTATAAGTCTGATATTTGCACACACTCACTATCACACTAAGACATAAAGAAATTCTAACTGGTGTGTCAAAGATCACTGGAATGGCAAACTGAGTTGGAACCCAACATTTTATTGGTTTTCTAATGGTTGGAACTGGCACGTAATATTGATCTGGTCCTAGGCCACTGATCACAAAACATTGTTCATTGTAGTCGCCCTGCCTGAAGAGACCTCTGTGGCGGTACACCCTCTCGTGGATGGGTTACGACCGCCTGTGGTCAGAGGCGGCTCTAGATTTTATGAGGCCTTAGGCGAAACTCAAACATGAGGCCCCACTAACAAAAAAGTGTCACATATACACATTGAGGCACTGTCTACCTGTGTATGTGCCTGAGAATGTGTCTGACAGAGAGTATCCTTGTGTGTGTGTGTGAATGTATGTCTCTGTGAGCATGTTTGCATTTTTGTCTGAGACCGTATGTGTATGGGGTCGCTGCTTGAAGTGTGTTGTGTTTATGGGGGGGTGATGGTGAGAGGGAGATGGGGGTAAATGGGAGGAGAGGGGGGGTGATGTGAGTGTGGGGAGGGGTGATGGAGAGTGAGGGGGGGGATCTGAGAAGGAGGGGGGTTGATGGAGGGGGTGAGGAGAAGGAGGAGGGCTGATGGAGAAGGAGGGGGGGTTGATGAGAAGGAGGAGGGCTGATGTGAAGCTGAGGGGCTGATGCTGAGGGTGAGGGAGGGGGGTGGGAGGGTGGTGGGGGGTGATGCTGAAGGGGTGAGGCTGAGGTGGGTGGGGGTGGTAAGGTGAGGGTGGTGGAGGGGTGGTGAGGCTGAGGGTGGTGGGGGGGGGGGTGAGGCTGGGGTGGTGGAGGCTGAGGGTGGTGTGGGTGAGGGAGTTGGGGTGGTGGGGAGGCTGAGGTGGTGGAGGCTGGTGGGTGGAGGCTGAGAGTGGTGGTGGGGTGGTGGGGGTGGGGGAGGCTGAGGGTGGTGGTGAGGCTGGTGGGGGGTGAGGCTGGGGTGGTGAGGAGCTGGGTGGTGGGAGGCTGAGGGTGGTGGGGTGGGGGGGGTGGGGAGGGAGGCTGGGGTGGGGGAGGCTGGAGGGTGATGGTGAGGCTGAGGGCTGGGGAGGCTGAGGGTGGTGAGGGAGTTGGGGTGGTGGGGAGGCTGAGGGTGGTGTGGGAGCTGGGGTGGTGGGGAGGCTGAGGGTGGTGGGGTGAGGCTGGTGAGGCTGGTGAGGGAGCTGGGGGGTGGGAGGCTGAGGGTGGGGGGAGGCTGGTGGGGGAGGCTGAGGCGGGTGGGAGCTGGGGTGGTGGGGGGAGGCTGAGGGTGGTGGAGGGAGTTGGGGTGGTGGGGAGGCTGAGGGTGAGGGGCTGAGGGAGGGTGGTGGCTGAGGGTGGTGTGGGAGGGAGGGTGGTGAGGCTGGTGGGGGAGGTGGGGGAGGCTGAGTGAGGCTGAGGCTGGTGAGGCTGGTGAGGGAGCTGGGGTGGTGGGGAGGCTGAGGTGGTGGGGGGGGAAGGCTGAGGGGTGGTAGGGGGAGGCTGAGGGTGGTGGTGGGGTGGTGGTGAGGCTGGTGGGGGGAGGCTGAGGGGAGGAGGAGGTGGTGGGGAGGGCGGTGGGTGAGGCTGGTGGGGAGGCTGAGGGTGAGGGTGGTGGTGGTGAGGAGGAGCTGGGGAGGGTGGGGTGGCAGGCTGGTGGCGGTGGTGAGGTTGGGGGGGGTGGTGAGGCAGCTGGGGTGGTGGGAGGCTGAGGGCTGAGGGGGGGGTGGAGGCTGAGGGTGGTGGTGGAGGAGCTGGGGTGGTGGGGAGGCTGAGGTGGTGGTGAGGCTGGTGGGGAGGCTGAGGGTATTGGTGAAGGAGTTCTGGGAGGGGTGGTGGGGGAGGCTGAGGGTGGTGGTGAGGCTGGTGGGGGGAGGCTGAGGGGGTGGTGAGGGGAGTTGGGTGGTGGGGAGGCTGAGGGTGGTGAGGCTGGTTGGGGAGGCTGAGGAGGGGTGGGGTGTGGTGGTGGGGAGGCTGAGGGAGGCTGAGGGTGGTGGTGAGGGAGTTGGGGTGGTGGTGAGGCTGGTGGGGGGGAGGCTGAGGGTGGTGGTGAGGCTGGTGGGGTGCTGGTGGGGGGGTGGGAAGGGTGAGGCTGGTGGGGAGGCTGAGGGTGGTGGGGGGAGGCTGAGGCTGGGTGGTGGGGGAGGCTGAGGCTGGTGTGGTGGAGGCTGGTGGGGGTGGTGAGGCTGGTGGGGGAGGCTGAGGGTGGCGTGAGGAAGTTGGGGTGGTGGGGAGGCTGAGGGTGGTGGTGAGGCTGGTGGGGGAGGCTGAGAATGGTGGTGAGGCTGAGGGTGGTGGTGGGGGAGTTGGGGTGGTGGGGAGGCTGGTGGGGGGTGGGAAGGCTGAGGGTGGTGAGGCTGGTGGGGGGAGGCTGAGGGTGGTGGTGAGGGAGTTGGGGTGGTGAGACAGCCTACCTTCTCTTCCCTGGTGGTCCAGTGGGCTCCCTGGTGGTCCGGTGGCCACTTCTTCTGGTCTGCAGCTCCCCAGAGTTGCAGACCTTGTAATATCGCGAGACCAGATCAGAGCTTTGCCGTGGTAACCCGCTGCAATGCTCTGATTGGCCGGTTTTCGCGAGACACATGGTCTGCAGCTCTGCTCACTGCGGAGCTGCAGACCTGTGCCTGCAATGGTGGCCGGGCAGCCAGGAGGGGCCTCGCCATAAGGCGGTTTAGGTGGCCGCGAAGCCCCAGCCAGCCGCCTCCATTCCCTGGACCTCACACTGCCACTGGGGAGGAAGGACGAGACTCAACTCTCCCGGGGTTGCAAAGTCCAAATGCTCCATAATTTCCGAGACAGGCGGCGTTGTACGGTAAAACAGGCGTACATAGTCCTTCTCGAGCTCCCACTCCAGGTTAGCAAGAAATGACAGGTCCTGCCCCACACCGGTAGCTTCCGATAGTTCATGCAGGGCCTCCCTGTGGTCACAGATGTCCCAAAATCTAAATTCCCCAGGACTTCCAAACTCAATGTCTT